ACTTGTAACTTGTATAATTATTTATTCATAACTGAATAGTAAATATTATGATATGAAAATTGTAAATAATTAACACATGGATAATTTATAAAAAGTACAGAAGCAAAATATATAACAGTGGTCTCGTACATACTTTCATAACACTCATACTGTGATCATGGCCTTAGTGCCGAAATACGTATCAGTTTAAATAAAAAATGAATTTCAGGGTACTCTGGTTTTTATTATTTTGCTTACTATATATATATATGAATTTGAAAGGATGGTGTTTTTGGCCTCTAGGGACCTCAAAACATCAAAAAAATCGGTCCCGGGTCCAGGTCTTACTCTTACCATGAGTACTACGGTAATAGCTTATTCCCTTATGGGAAATTCACTAAAATGCCAGTAGATTTTTTGGTAAATCTAATAAATAAACAAAAAACCGAAACTAACCAGTAAGTGTTGTGGCTGCAATATTACAGCAATGTCAACCTAGCTCAGCCCTTATGTTTTTAGAAATGTAGACATGTCAAGTCGTATATCACTTGAGTTATGGAGCATAGCTAGCATACATACACATATTAGCCTATTGCTCTGGTCTATTACACTGCAACTTCAAAGCAATATCTAATATTGTGGGATTTATTTAAAACTATTATGTTTCAATACGGTCAAAGATAATTAAACTCAATTGTGTTACACCACACAACAATATGTTCTAACATCTTTGACATGTTATTAGAAATAAGTAACTTGGACGGCTAAATGGTTTTTGCCAAATTTCCATTGCCAAAATGTTTGGGAATGATAAAAATAGCCTAAATTCAAAGTAATTATTAAAAATGAAGTTTGTTGGGTTTTGATTGAGTTTTAGAGTGCATTACAATTGGAATATTATTGATTTGAGTAGGAACATGTATCGTTGATCAATAATTCTTAATCCTTCATTAGTAATATTGATAAGATAAGTAGGCCTACTAGTCTTTTTTTATTCACATACATTCTATATCCCTCTCAAATACAAATTTTACTGCATAACAGTTAAATGTTTATTCACACAATTTTAGAATGTTGTGGATAACCAATGCTCATAACCATGAGCTACATAATATCATAGACTAACGGACACAAGTAGACTTCTCATCCGAATGTAAATTTTGAAGCTCGATTTTCTTCGTGTCTAGTTTGTCTGGTGACACTTACCGCTTGTGTCATTGAAATTTAGTTTTTTAGCGAATTTCTAATATAGGGAATATTACCATATATAGGGAATACCATATGTATAGGGAATATAGCTATTACCGTTGTACTCATGGTAAGACCTGGACTCGGGACCGATTTTTTTTTCGTTTTGATTTTTTTTTGTCCCCAGAGGCCGAAAACACCCTCCGTTAAAATTCATATATATATATATATATACAGGTATACTAGCAGAGTAGGTACCCGTTCTTAGTACAGGGTTGGCGTATAAATATAAAATGCTTGTTGCAGTTATACTCTAGCTTTGCGTTTCCAATGGTGGAGGATAAGGCTTGAGAGAATTTGGTTCTTTATATTTACGGTATGCTATAGTATTACAGATATAGTATACTATATACAGTATAGTATTACACATCTACCATAGCCATTCTGTTCTACCACTGCACCTAAGGCCCCGTTTATGCACCAAGAGCGGGAGCGGTAGCGACAGCGGGAGCGATTTTCAACACCATTGAGTTAAATGGGGCTGTTTATGCACAAAGAGCGATAGCGGTAGCGGTTGACCACCCGCTGCGGTTTCTAATTCGCCCGCTGTGTAGTTAGAAATCGCAGCGGTTGCTTGGGATAGAGCGGTTTTCAGCTACAGTTCTCGCAGCTAGTCTGGGCGCGCGGACCCTTGTGTACTAACCGTCCCCCACGCCAAAGCCATGAAGACAGCAGTGAGGCGCTGAACAACCCCAGTGTGCCGTGTGGGCCGAATGTTTTTAGAAATGTGCAATAAACACTCCCCTCTACACCCCCTGCCCTAGCGCTACCGCGCGCCCAGACTAGCTGCGAGAACTGTACTTTGAGTCAAATGAGACTGTTTATGTACGGCGGGAGCAGGAGCGGCTGCAGCCAGGGTTGCCAACTTGACCCACGCGCACGTGCACTTAGGACAAATAGTTGGGGTGTTAATTATTTGGCAGAGTTTGAGTTGGCAAGACTGTGCCCCCCTTCCATTCTCCGTTGACCAACCGCTTCCGCTATCGCTTGCACAATTTTGACAAAATTTTCACAGCGGGAGCGGGCCCGCTATCGCCCCGCTCCCGCTCTTGGTGCATAAACGGGGACTAAATAATATAAAAAAGTAAATTATCAAACATTCAAATAGTCTGAATTATTCCCTGTAAAATATATTATTACAGCATTTCACAAATATCAGAACCTATGTTTGAACCAGCTGTGTGGAATTGTGAAATAAAAACTCATATGACAGTTCGTGGTATTTACTCAGGGGAGGTAGAGATGAGCCTACGATGACAGCTGTGGGCTTCTCATTAGCTGAGGGAACACCATTACCGTAACAATATGGAGGAAAGCCATCGGCCTCGGTGGTCTAGTGGTTAGAGTGCCGGACTGATATGCTGAAGTCACGGGTTCAAATCCCGCTGGTGGCACTAACTTTTTGTCTGAGATTTTTTCATTACCAGCAAGTTTGGTTGGTTTGGTTAGCTTATGACTGTTTAATTTTATTATTACGTCATTATAAAATTTTAATTGAGCAATTTCTAGTTTTATAATGAACAGAATTATTTTTTCTATTAGTAAACTTTTTTATATTTTTTCATTATCAGCAAGTTTGGTTAGTTCGGTTAGGTTATGATAGTTTAATTTTATAATAAAAATTATAAAATTGATTTAAGCCGGGTTTACACGATGCCAGTTGGCGAGACAATTGTCTTTGCCAATTGGCATCACGTGGGTTTGGAATTGTCGTAGGTCGTAGGCCAGGCAAGTTGAACGAGAACCTGTTTACACGTGACCAACACTTGCCCAGACATTTTACAGTGAACCAGGGTACTACTGCCAAAAGACAAGACGGTGCTATTGGCCTCTACACTGTTTACACGGCGCCAATTGTCACGACAACTGGGTTTTTGAGGGGTGGGGGCCTCACTGGGCCCAGCTCATTGTCCTCAGTCTACTCCCGGAGACAACTGAATTTCGGGACAGTTGGCGGGCCAATTGGCAGCCAATTGGTCTGAAGTGTTTACACGAAGCCAGTAATTCCAAGCCAGTCAGTTGTCTCCTGACAATTGTCTCGCCAACTGGCATCGTGTAAACCCGGCTTTAGAGGCATTTATAATTTTATTTTATGAACAGAACTATTTTCCCGATTAGTAAACCTTCATTGCCAAAATGCTCTCTACTACAGCGCTGTTCACGGAGGAATTTTGAACTAATGCCTCAATCATCGTACCTCCCCTAATCAGAACCACAGTTCGTTCTGCTTCTTTACATTTTTAAACTTTTTGTAGGTGTGTTCTTTGTTACCATGGATACCATCAATCAATATTTACTTTTACATCTCTCACCTCAGATTTTTTAATGCCCACGGGGCAGAACCCTAGGTCAATATCGAAGTGGGAATAGTTCTATAGGTATCCTCGGAGCTGTAGCTTCATTGGTGTGCAATTTGAGATTAGCTCATACAAATACAGAGACAGACAGACACCACCTTCTTCTTTATGATAGCATATATTACGAGCAAAAATTATCCGATTTTGAATTTGGTAGAAATGTGTAAACCTACGTTTATTCAAACAAGTTCGCGAACCAGCATGATCGGACTATGGGAACCGGGGTTTATGGGGTGTTTTTTATGTGCTAAAAATTAGGTTTTTCCATTCTTGACTCAAAAACATAAAATTTCACAATTTCTTTCCAGACCATTTTGTATAGCTTATAAAAGAAATAATTGTGTATATTGAAGCGTTGTTGTATGCCTAACGGTTACGGAGATAATAAAAAAAATGTACATTTAAAATTCCCATGCTATTCTTATGGTGAATAAATAAACTGTTGTTTGCTTGTTTATGGATATACACACTGTATTTTAATCAAATTTGGCAATTTTGTTTATTTCATACTAAGCTATCAACATTTCAATAAAAAAACACATGTCAATACCTTCCCTGTAGCAGCAAACCTAGAGGTAGTCATTAAAATTCATGATATTTAAAAAGGAAATAAATCTGACAATTATTTTCAGGGAATATTTTTGTAGAAATCCAGCCAGGTAAAGGAAATTTGCTTAGTCTGTACGTTTGCTGCGGCGGGTTAATATTATTTTAGGGTTAATTTCATGATTTGAGCTTTACCTACTGTTTGGTTTTATAACTAGGGGATGAGCTATTGCTTAAGATTTTATCGTTTTATTTGGTTAAATGTGGTTTTAAATTACTGAAATAACAAGAAACAAATTGTAAAAACCACAACCTTTACAGTGCACCGGACAGAACTAACAATAAAATTGGCTTTAGCTGTTCCATGATAATATTGAAATCGGACTTGAGAAGTGTCCATACAATTCACTCAAATCAATTCTATTACCTGTATGAAATTCCTCAATAATACAGTCTAAATCATGAATATAAAAATACATACCCTAACCACACCCTCAACATCTCTATCAGCATTTTATTTTCTGAGAGTAGGACGGAATGTTAAATTACTGTACTTGAATTATCCCTTACTTTAGAGGAAATAGAGGAAACAGAGTGGCAATTCAGTCAGCCAACCTTCATGGGGACATTCATAAAAGTACTGCCTCCAAATTTTCATTTTTTTGGTGCATAATTCAAGTGGGAAAAACTATTTATTGAAGTGATCATTCCATTTACAACACAAACCCATTTATAACTATTAAGTACCAGAAATGTTGTCAGCAAGTGAGATTAATGGTCTGACAAACTTGTCGTTATGCAGCTTTCTTATGATCACTGTAGTGTAGATGGGTTTAAAACCATAATATTCTAAATCTGCTTGCCTTTTAGGTCACAATGACTGTCTCCCAGTGGCAGTTGCTTCATCGAAGGCACAAGAGGAAGGCTGAGCAAAGCAGAGCTTACCTTCATCTGAAGGTTATATTTTAAAATATTATTTTTAAACAATCTGTTGTAAAGGCAATGACGCTAGTAAAGCAACCAACAGTAACAAAATGCTTTAAACAAATTAAGTTATTGAGCTATGTCTTTATATTGATTAACATAACAAGTATAGTTGTTAGTAGGCACTGAACAGTATATAAATCTAAATAACCTTATCTTTCAGGCTTGCAATCATCTAGATATGAATAGATTATAACTGAAGTCACCACTCAGTCACCTTAATAAGTCACTGAATAAGTAACTGAAGTCACTTTTAAAAATTAAAAAGAGTGCCACTCCTGTTTTTGCTGTTTTTTTTTTCTGTTTAAACGTGTCAACCTACATTTATTCCGACAAATTCGCAAACCAGCACCTATGGGAACCTATAGGGGACTATGGGAACGAGGGTTGATGGGGGGTTTTATTGGGTAAAAATTGGGTTTTCTTATTTTTGACCCTAAAAACATTCAATTCTGCAATTTCTTTCCAAACCATTTTGTAGAGCTTAAAAAACAAATGGTATATTGAAACTTTATTATGTTTCTAATAGTTACAGAGAAAATTAAAAAAGAAAAGATGAAAGTCCCATGTTATTCTTATGTAGAATAAGTAAGCTGTTGTATTATGCTTGTTTATGAACATATTTTGATCAAATTTGGAAAATGCCTATGTTAATTTAATTCATTCTAAACTATTAACATTTCAAAATAACCCTCCCTGATGCAGCAAACCTAAGTACTCGTTGAACCGATGCTATTTAAATGGAGAATATATATATTATTCATATATATAATAATGGGGAAATGTGATATTTTTAAGGAGATAGCAAATGGAAATTCGCTTAGTCTGCAGGTTTGATACCCCAGGGGTATTTCTTGTTGTTATGTTGGCCATATGATTGTGTTGTAATAATATGAAGATGTTAGAATTAACATCTGTTTGCTTGTTTACTTTTCTATTAGCGAATTTCCCATATAGGGAATAAGCTATTACCGTAGTACTCATGGTAAGACCTGGAGCCGGGACCGATTTACTTTTTCGTTTTAAGGTCCCTAGAGGCCAAAAACACAATCCGTTCAAATTCATATATATATATATGTGTGTCCGTTAGCAAGATAACTCGAGCAAAGATGATCTGATTTTGATGAAATTTGGTATCACGTGTAAACCTACATTTATCCGAACAAATTCGCAAACCAGCATTATCGAACTATGGGAACAGGGGTTTATGGGGGGTTTTATGGGGTAAAAATATGTTTTTCCCATTTTTGACCCTAAAAACACAAAATTTAATAATTTATTTCCAAACCATCTTGTAGAGCTAAAAAAACAAATAATTTAGTATATTGAAGCGTTATTGTGTGCCTAATGGTTACGGAGAAAATTACAAAAAATTGTTACTGTAATTTAAAATTCCCATTTTATTCTTATGGAGAAGTCAACTGTTGTAGTTTGATTGTTTATGAACATATTTTGATAAAATTTGGAAAATACACTCATTTCTTACTAAACTATTAAAATTTAACAAAAAAACACAAACTATTTTATCCTCCCTGTTGCAGCAAACCTAAGTACTTGTTAAACTAATTCAATTTAATAGGGAATAAATGTGATATTTAATGAGGCATTTTAGTGTAAATCCAATCAGGCTAATGGAAATTCGCTTAGTTTGCAGGTTTGCTGCGGCGGGGGTGTGTAATATTATCTCAGTTAAATATAATATACTTTTTCACCAAGTCTAATGAATTTTCAATAATTAATACACGGTATTAAAACAGATTGGTTGGTTGCTGGATAGCTGTCAAATTCAATTCATTCCAACCATGCTATTTATTTGGGGTTATTTGATGACAGTGGCGTCATTTCACCAAATCCTTGGGTAGGGGGGCAAACACCGGGGGGTCGGGGGTTCTCCCCCTGAAAATGTTGCAGTTTAAAAAAAAAAAAAAGAGGGGGTAAGCTTATTTTAATTGCCAAAAACACTTCGAATAAAAAAAAATTATGAGTAAAATTTATTTAAATTTCGGCAGAAAATTAATGAAACTAACAATTATTGGCAACAGACAGAAACATAATAATATATTGGTAAGTTAGTCATCTAAGGAACGTGATCAATATAGGTCGGCCGTTTAGAAAACGACCTGCGCGAAATTTTTAGCACATGTAGGGGAGGTAACGGCGAGGGAGAATAAGTCCCCCCTCTCCGCCAATGGCCGTTTTCAAAAGGTGTGTGCATAGTGACGTCACATGCGAGCTGAACGTGTTTTATTTTACCAAATCATATGTTTTCTTTTAATTTCCCAAAGACTTTCGAATGACAATCATTACGAATTAGCATTGAATATATAACACTATTTAGTGTTTTATATCCAATATAGTGTTGTATTCAATATTGAATATAGTCATAGTGTTATACAGTACAGAGTGTGGCAATAAAAACCGATCCATTTTCTGCAGAGAAAATGGTCGCTATTCAGCAACAGGTTGTCTGAAAGTGGTGGGAGTAAGCTCGTTGGAAAGCTTACACGATGCCATTTTTTCTATTCACAGAGCAGTGGTCGCCTGAGCTACGTGAATACTTACTTGAATACTGCATCGGTGACCGACAATGTCGGAATAGATTGCGTCAAACTTATTACTAATAAAAGAATAATAAAAACTTATGATGGCGGCGGGTTGCCAAAAAGTGGTGTGTCCTCTAGCTCAGTCAACGAATAGAGAGGTCTACGCACCAAATAGTCCTTCAGTTTGTCTCTAAAAGCTCTCACGTCCAACTCACGCACTTCTGATGGGAGTGTGTTGTAGAGCTTGCTGGTATAGTAAGGGTAGCCCTTTTGGGTCCAGGCAAGACGGCATCTTGGCAGGTCAAGTAAATGGCATGCTGTGTCTGGTATGAGTGTTGGTCCTCACGTCGAACAAGCGTTGCTGAGTTTTCCTTTAGTAATACCATGCTATTGAGGATGTACTGACTGTAGACGGTCAGAATCTTTAAATCCCTAAAGATAGGCCTACAGTGGTCACGGTACCCGGCAGACGTAATCACCCTCAGAGCCATCTTCTGAAGGAGCAAGATGTCATGTGCTGCAGCTGTATGACCCCAGAGTGCGATGCCATAGCTGAAGTGGAAAATCATGACCACAGCAAACAATCACGAATACAGGACCCAGCGCAACGGCTGTTGCCACGATACGGACAATCATCACGAATCTCGCCGCGATTAAGATATGGCCGCAATCACAAAGAGTCATGAAAGCTGAGATAATCGCAGGAGATTATCGCGGATGTCGCCAAGATTGTGTAAGACGCAAATAACGTGACTGCAATTATAATGGCGTTGCCACCATCGAAAGTAACGATCACACATCTTAGTGACGGCCTTTTAGTGAATTTCCTATATAGGGTATAAGCTATTACCGTAGTACTCATGGACCCGGGATGGCAAGGCGTATAAAAGAAGGTGTGTGCACGCACATCCCCCACCCCTCCAATCAGCCAATCAAGTATTTACTGCTTTATTGTTTTTCGGTTAAATGGTACCATATAACTGTACAATATAACTGTAGTAGTGTTATTGTATAACACTACTACAGTATATTCATTCAATGTTGAATACAACACTATATTGGATATATAAAACTAAATAGTGTTATATATTCAATGCTGATTCCTAATGATTGTCATTCGAAAGTCTTTGGAAAATTACAAGAAAACATATGCTTTGTGAAAATAAAAGGTAAAATAAAATAAAGGGTGGGGGTAAGGTGGCAGCGGAGTGGGGGAAGAGCCATATTCTGTCTCACTCCCACAGCTCGGTATCTCTCTCTCGCACCAATGCTACGAGGAGGACGCTTTCTAAGCGGCCGACCTATAGTTCCATTGTGTATTAATATTATGTTCGTTATTAGATTCATGACCAATTTCTCTTGTACAACATTTAGCATTGAATATGGTTGTATTCATAGCCTATAGTTTATAACAGTTTGTTTTGGTTTTTAAATAAAATACAAGAGTATTTAAGAACTTAAAAGCAAATCAAAGTTTATCACCAATCAAATAATTTGACACAAAAGTACAAAAGGTTCTATTTAACTATATTAAACTGGTAGTCTACAATGTTCAAAATAAATTACGTAAAATCGATACACTTTTATAATTTTAATGCTTGAATAGTTCATCAAAGTAAATGACAAAGCAATGCTAAAAAATCTGCATTTGAAGTATATATAAACTAGAAGTAAGTGGTCGATCGTACAGAACCAAACAGAAAAAGTAAATGAATAACAAAACTACTAATTTATGTAAACTCGAAATGTGCCATCTAAGACGATAAAAAATAATATTTTTTTTCTAATTTCTGCACAAGAATAGGCAGATTTTAGTCTGCTGTGCTTTTTTGGATTTGACAGAAGAAACTATTTGTATATTAGCTAGTACACAGCATATTTTTTTCTCTAGCCCAGGAGCCAAGGGGTGGTGAACACCCCCTGCCCCCCTGCCAACCCCCCTTCCCCTCAAATGACATCCGTGTTTGATGGACTTCTATCAACAACTATTTATTGTTTACAGGACATTTCTGAAGAGAGGAGGCTATCAACAATGGATAATTTGTTGAAGATGTTCCTTCCTGCTACAATGCCTCCAGAGCACCAAAAGAAGGAAGCTCATAACATACTCTTATTTGCTTCCATGCTAACTAAAGTAAGAAATACTGTATAACATTTTGTATTGTTGGTAAATCTTGGTTGATTTTCAAATAATCAGTTTAATTACATATAAAAACCCAAACAAAATATTTGGGCCTACTGTGGCTTTATAAAAGAGTTAGCTTTTATAAAAACGTACAGCTCTAGCTCTTTTTTTAATATGTAGTATTGTTTTAGCACTGGTAAGTAAAAGAATTAATTTTAGCCCTCCAGTAACAGTTTTGCCAGTCCGTACCAGTACCTATTATTGGATTTATGTAATAAATTCTTCATATTTCAATTTTTTTCCAGTTATACCCAAGGGCAAAGGAGCTTGCTCATAGACTGCAACAAGAAGACTCCTTCATGGCTAGCAATCCTCCAGAGCTACAAAACCATTATGACTTTGTAAGAAAAGCTTTGATCTTTACTTTAGATAAACGTACAGTTCACTGAAAAATCCCAACCTTTATATTATACAGCCGGATGTGTAACTAGTAACTTATACTAATGTTTGGGCACTTCTAGATGAGCTAGAGACGTGAAATTTTCGGTGTTTTGAAGGTCTAGTGCCCAGACCCCCGGGAAAAATCTGAAAAGTGGCATTTTCCTCTTCCAACCCCCCCTAAATTAACGATTCCCCCCCCATGTTATTCTTATGGGAAATAACGTTGAAAAACACCAATTTTCGTACGCTCATCTGAACCGTTTAGAAACGTGCTAGAGACTTGGAATTTGCGTAGTATTGTACTATGGGATCTTAAATTACCGGTAATATCCTTAAAAACCCCATTTTCAAAATTCTACCCCCCCAAAAAAAATCCATAAAAATTTCGGTTTTCGGAAAAACATGTTTTTTTAAAACGGCTGTAGCTCGAAAACCGTAAGAGCTAGAATCGATTTGAGGAAAAATCGTGAGTTCGAAATTAAATTTTCTACAAGACAGTTTTGTCAGAGAAGGCGTCATATCGAAATTCGCACTCCTTCACCTTCAAAAAACGCTCTAACTCCAAAAATTGTGAAAATACTCTATTTTTTACGTGTTTTTAATTTTTAAAACGACTTTTCGTATATATATTTCTACTTTTTATGCTCCCAACATTTAAAGGAATGTCTCTAGAGTGACCTTCAATAATTTTAACCTACAAAAAAAATTTAAAATGGCGGATTTTTAATAAAAAAGATTGTTTTTTAATGTATTTCTTATGGAGAATTAACATGCGTCGACAGGCAAACTAGACGTAAACGTCGGTAGGTGAAATATGGGCGTTTGGTGACAGAAAAAACATTTTTATCACTTCTAGAGTAGCTAGGGAGCTGAAATTTTTGTTTAAAGGTTCGTCTGGGTACCAAACCACCCAGAGAGTCCCAAAATTTAGTTTTTCCAACTGAAACCCGCCAAAAGAAATCCCGTAAAACCCTAGTTTTTTTTGGGAAAAACATGTTTTTTTTTAAATGCTGTAGCTTGAATACGGTAAGAGCTAGAATCGATTTGAGGGAAAATCGTAGGTTCAGAATTAAATTTTCTACAAGACAGTTTTCTCAAAGAAGGGGTCATATCGAAAATCTGACTCCTTCACCTTCAAAAAACGCCCTAATTCGAAAAATTGTAAAAATTCTTGATTTTTTGGTGTTTTTAATTTATAAAACGACTTTTCGTACATATATTTGTACTTTTTATGGTCTTGACGTTGAAAAGAAAGTCCCTTGAGTGACCTTCTATAATTTTAACATACTAAAAAATTTTAAATGGCGGGTTTTTATTCAAAAAGGTACTTTTTAACGGTTTTTTTTTAACGTATTCCTTATAGAAAATTAACATGCTTATACACGCAAACGAGATCAAAATGTAAGGAGGTAAATTATTATGGATATTTAGACCAATACCATTCTAACCCCCCCCTCTTTCATCCCCATTAATAAAATGTTACCATTAGCAACAGGGTGCAGCACTAATATTTTTTTAAATCTATGACAATAGCTAATTTGCAACCAAAAGGTGAGTGAGCGTAGCGAACGAGCTAACCTGAAGGCAAGTGAGCGCAGCGAACGAGCTCAAACCAAAATGTGAGTGAGCGTAGCGAACGAGCTAATCTGAAGGCAAGTTAGCGCAGCGAACGAGTTCCAACCTAAAGGTGAGTGAGCGTAGCGAACGAGCTAACCTGAAGGCAAGTGAGCTCCAACCTAAAGGTGAGTGAGCGTAGCGAACGAGCTAACCTGAAGGCAAGTAAGCTCCAACCTAAAGGTGAGTGAGCGTAGCGAACGAGCTAAGCTGAAGGCAAGTGAGCGCAGCGAACGAGCTCCAACCGAAAAGTGAGTGAGCGTAGCGAACGAACTAGGCTGAGGGCAAGTGAGCGCAGCGAACGAGCTAACCTGAAGGCAAGTGAGCGCAGCGAACGAGCTCCAACCTAAAGGTGAGTGAGCGTAGCGAACGAACTTCAACCAGGATTTGATTGAGCCATGCGTTTAGTTAAATTTTTTCCCATCTCCACCCCAAATTCGTGTTTAAACCTGAAATTTTATCTTTTTTCTCTATTTTTGGTGATTTTTACTGCGCAAGGGGTCCATTCTTCATGTCGATAATTTTTACCAACCCCCCGCCCCCGAAGGGGGCTTAAGATTATTTAAAAATATTATTTTACCTCACTCTAACTCCTAAGACTTTATATCGATGCTTATTGATGTGAAGAAAGTTTTAGAGGTTGTGACTTAGCAAATTTAATTCATCATAGCACCGGCCCTACATCGAGACTCTAACATGCCAAGACTGGTTTGGTTTGCACTAAACAACCCCCCTATGGAATACTTCGCAACTGCCAAGTTGTCTCTACGTCTTTTACGCAAAAAGCAAAAATGTTTCCGGACAACATCCTGTCCCCCGTGACAATTTCTCATCACGGCTACTATTAAAAGGGGGCCTGGGGGCGGAGCCCCCAGCGAGCACAAGGCGAGTCTATTAAACTAAAACCCGATGTGTAACACACTGACTCACTGATCAGGTATACAAATGTTTACCCACTTCTAAGTTAGCTAGAGATCTGACATTTTTGACAATTATAGGTCTTGGTCCCAAACTACAAAAAAAATTGTCAAAAGTGACACTTTTGTTTTACAACACCCCCAAAAAACTTCAAAATGGCGGAATTTTGAAACCTCCAAAAAGGTTTTTTTTTAAACTGCTATAAGTTAAAATACCCTATTGCCTAAGGTAATAGCTACCACTAATAAAGGCTATGGGATGTCAACGGTGGATTAGGACGGCCCATTTTCTATGCCATTGGCATTTATACCGTTTTTTTTTTAATGGAACAAAAATCATATTGTTGTCACTATCTAACGTTATCCTGTTATTAGATGGAAAATCGTGTTGAGTCCAGAATTGATCCCGCTTGAGTTCCTAACCCCAACTTTAGATAGGCGAGCACTCTGCTCCCAAATCAGTTTATATAGTACCATAACTGTCTGGTTGCAACTTATCCTCCTAACATAGGTAATCATAATAGAATAGTTTAGTAGAACATAGCTAGAGTCTATGTTTTTTTTTTTTTTTTTTTTTTTTTTTTTGCTACTGTTGTGCTGTTTTACAGGTTCAATGGAAGCCTCTAATGCAGGAGGTGTTTGATACAACCATCTCCTCCTCAGACACAGTGTATGTGATGGCTCCTTCCTACATGACAGGCCTAGCCAGCACAGTGGCTCACTTCCAGCCAAGGTAACAGGTGCGCAAGTCTCTCAATTAGAGATGCATTATTGGTGATTGGCAGGATTTGTACTCAGGTTTCCAGGAACAAAGACTTACACTAATTAATACAAGCCTCAGAAAATGTAGGCCTATATAGAACAGATTTCAAAACATTTATCCCAGCAAGCACTTCTCTTCCGAAGTTTAAGATTCCGAAATTGAACAACAGGATGGTGATGATAATGTATCCCTGTGCTCACAAACTAAAATTTACGATTCTAGTGACAGCAACTAAGAATCTTTACCTAAACTTAAAAAAAATCTATGATTGGCAAATAAGGAAGATAACAACCAATATTTTAAATATTTTTACCCTGTTTTGGTATCATAATTTAGCAACTTTTCCAAGGTATTACAACTCGAAACAAAATTATTGTTTTTTTTTCGACCCACCCTAATGCACACTGTGTAAAAAAAAAATTAGGCACAAATACACATTTTTTGATTTTGGTGCTTAACAACGCTAATGGAATTCCTTTACGTTTAATGTATAGGAACAGTCGTAACTTTGGCCTTACTAGCGAATTTCCCTTTAGGAAAGTAGTTAAATTACAGTAGGTCTCATGGTAAGATTTGAGCCCGGGACCAATTTGCTTTTTCATTTTGATGTCCCCAGAGGCCAAAAACACTATTCATTCAAATTTTATATATGTATATATATATTCCATATGTGTGTGTGTCCGTGAACGCGATAACTTGGGTAATTTTTGTCCAATTTTCATGAAATTTTGTGTAAGGCGGGATAAACTTGAATGAGTTCGCGAACCAGCATGATCGGACCATGTGAACAGAGTTTTACGGGGGGTTTTATGGGGTAAAAATCGGGTTTTCTCATTTTTGACCCTCAAAACAAAAAATTTTTCAATTTATCTCTATAGTGGGGTCGTATAGCTGCATATAGTGGCAGAATATTTCAGTTCTGGCAGAGAGGCTGCAATTTTAGGTGGTTATAGTATACAAGTTTCTGAACCTAAAACCGCCCAGACCCCAATTTTTAAGGACCTCGGTCGTCCGTAATGACGTCATCAAAATGGCGGCCGTAAGAGGATGCTGGTTCCCCATGAATTGGCTATAACGACTGAATGCCTGAACCGATTTTCATGAAATTTGGCACACAAGTGCTTGAATACATTGTCTCGGCCTGGGTTGAAAATGGTCAAGTTTCATCAAGTCATTTCAAAATGGCGGCTGTTCAAAACTTAAAAAAATACGAGGAAAATAATTGTGAATTGTTTTATACAGGGCGAGTTTTAAATGAGTTCCCCCCCACTTTTTTATACATTTCTTAAGATATCAACTCCGAACTACGTCAGATCATTGTAGAGTAGCAAGTACTTCATTTTGAATGGGTTTAAATTTTTAGCCGCCATATTGGATCCGCCATATTGGATACAAAGTTATTTTTTTCAAATGTAAAGGTAGGGTTGTGACCCACCGTTTCAAACAAGACTTTTACGCTGAATACGATGCTGCAATCCGCTTTAAAAAATGTTGATCCATTCTAAAATTATGAGAACTTTTTATAACTTTATTTTTAGTCCATTATAACATTGTGCATTTACAAATTAAGGCCATAATCTCAAAATAGTGCTAGATAAAGATAAGTGGACACCACCATTCATTGTTGACCTATTTTCACTCGGTTATGACGGATGTATTTTTTTCAGCCGCCATCTTGGATCCGCCATTTTGAAATGTGATAAATTATTTATGTGACCCATCATTTTGAACTACTTTTTTATGTTGAATTCAATGCCGCAATCCGTTTTTCATTGTCATATTTGACTTTTGAAATATTGACATTTTAAATAAAAATAATTGTAATATTTTATCAAGAAAGCTTGATAACAAAAATGAATAAAATAATTTATCACATTTCAAAATGGCAGATCCAAGATGGCGGCTGAAAAAATACATCTGTCATAACCGAGTGAAAATAGGTCAACAATGAATGGTGGTGTCCACTTATCTTTATCTAGCACTATTTTGAGATTATGGCCTTAGTTTGTAAATGCACAATGTTATGCACTAAAAATAAAGTTATAAAAAGTTCTCATAACTTTAGAATGGATCAACATTATTTTTAAACGGATTGCAGCATCGTATTCAGCTTAAAAGTCTTGTTTGAAACGGTGGGTCACAACCCTACCTTTACATTTGAAAAAATAACTTTGTATAAAATATGGCGGATCCAAGATGGCGGCCAAAAATTTAAACCCAGTCAAAATGAAGTACTTGCTACTCTACAATGATCTGACCATAGTTCGTTGGATCTGACGTGATTCGGAGTTGATATCTTAAGAAATGTTTTAAAAAGTAGGGGGGGGGGGAACTCATTAAAAACTCAACCTTTATAAAACAATTCACAATTATTTTCCTCATAATTTTTTAGTTTTAAACAGCCGCCATTTTGAAATGACTAAATAAAACTTAACATTGTCTCACTGATGAGTGAATTGGCCACTTTGCTTTCTCAAATCAATGAGAGAACATGTACATTGTTAGGTAACTGTAGAAAAAAAAAAATTACCTTTGATTTTCTCTTTATTTTGACCCAAGTACATAAATTATGTCCCCGCCTTTCTTGAACACCCTGTATATTATTTATTTATTTAAGATAATTTTTTAAGTTTTGGTTAAAGCAAGTTAGTTTTTTGTCTTAAATAGAAAGGTAGAGTGTAAGTAAAAACAACAGTGATAGCAGATCTTGACCAGAAACAAGGAAAACCAAAGTTGAGATAAGGAACTGACCAAAGGGACTAAGTAGATTGTTATCAAATCAAATCAAATCAATCAAATCAAATCAAATCAAATCAAATAATTTATTATCATGGACATTTACATGCATTGACATTGTCAGTGGAGCAGAAAATAAAATGTCAATGTTCATTGTCTAAATAATCAGAGGTAACTTGAGTATGTATCAAGAACCAGTTTTTCTCTATGAGCTGCAGACAAGCCAAACTTTCCTGGCTTTTGCACCAAATTATTTATAGAATTTTGTAAATTTTTTTTGCTTTTTCAAATAAGTTTAAAAAATATACATATAAATAAATGTTTATTTCCAGGATTGTACACAATGCCCTGCTACTTATTTTTGCAACTGATATACTGAATGAGTTGGTCAATTCGACCCTCAGTGAGAATGACCGATCTTCCTTCTGCATGCGAGTGAGCATGAACGTGATGAGTCAACCAGTCAGTGCACTTTATGTGACACAATATACGCCTCAGTACCTTCATCATCTCAGCGTCAGGGTGAGTGTGAATCATAGGAAGTGGGGTCAGCAAAATTCTGGGATTTTTACTCAGTCAGATTTATTTTGTGCATAGGTATGCATTGACAAAGAGAAAACAGTCACATGGATTTTATTTACATGCCGGGTATCAAACTTGTTCCTCCCACTGAAATCTGAGACACTATTATGCCTAACAAAACACTCCTCTTTAACTATTTGGGAGGGAGTATCCCAGCTTAAGATGCCATTTCTACATTATTAACGGTTTTAGCTACATTCATGATCGTCGTTTATTAATTTACATATTTTCCTTAACAACTTTAATAATTATTAGTTAAAACCGCAAAAGCTTATTATTACATTTTTTTTAAATACTATAACAAAAACAACTTATAGGCCTATACATACACAATAGCTATAAACACCCCAAAGCAGTTACCCATATGTGATCACCAGTGAGGAGGCTTTTTAAAACAGTTTAGTACTAGCAATTTACTCACAATAACACTGATAACTATTTGTCAGAATAAGTGTCATTTACTGCTGCAAAACTAAATCTCTGAACATAGGGACCTTTAAATATCAGTCCCATGAACAGTTCAATAATTTTCCAAACGACCAAAATTTTTAAGTTATTAAATTATGGTTTTGAAGTAAAATCCAGCATTTACTATTTTGCTGTTTTATGAAAATAAATTCTGTTAACTTATTCACCCTACTTTGTATGATACAAATATAGTAAAAAAAGAACATAGGCAAAATCTAGTAACAAGTAACATACATTATTTGTTAAATTTATAGCAATGAAAAATCAATATTGTATACTGCTTCTTCTACTGGCTTCTCTGCCAAACAATAATATAAGCTGCAATGTTTCATTCATTAAAATTATATTTCCATAGGGGGTCATATAGCTTACCTATCTTATTTTGTTTCATAGTTATAAGAGGTTTTCTTTAGTTAAGTCCTGACTTGAGTCAATTTGTAAAACAGTTTTGTTACTGAAATTCGCTCATGAATAAAGACCTTATTTATTTATTTATATATTTTATTTATAGCAATGCATAGCCTTTCCCCAACCAACCAATTGGTTGCTTTTGCTGAGAAAAATTCTAAACATACAGTTTTTATATTGACAATTTTATAAATAGCCAATTATCTACTTCTATATAAATATCTTATATCATAGATTAAACAATACTCCCTAAGGGATCTACCCCCAATCTACTCCCTCTGTTTAATTTACTCCCTTAGCATAGATTAAAACATACTCCTAAGGGAGTATGTTTAATCTATACTTATATAAATATCTATCTACTTAGGTAATATATAATTAAGTTTTGAAAATCTTTGTACAACTAAATCTAGAGTTATACTGGACCGATTTTATTAATTAACGAAATAAAAAAAATACCCCCGCCGCAGCAAACCTGCCGACTAAGCGAATTTCCATTTGTCTGAATTGATTTTCAGTTAAATATACTTTAATAACATTAGGTTTAACGAGTACCTAGGTTTGCTGCTACAAGGAAACTAATAAAGTGTGTTTTTGAGTAAAATATTAATAGCTTAGTACAAAATAAATAAATTTGCCAAGTTTGATCAAAATATATTCATAAACAAGCAAACTACAACATTCGACAATATTCTCCATAAGAATAACATGGGAATTTTAAATTTACAATTTTTTTAATTTTCTCCGTTACTAATAATCAAACAAAAATACTTTTATATACTAAATTATTTGTTTTTTTAAGCTCTGTAAAAAGATCTAAAGATAAATTGGGAAATTTTGTGTTTTGAGGGTCAAAAGTGAGAAAACCCAAATTTTACCCCATAAAACCCCCCGTAAAGCCCCGTTCCCATGGTCCGATCGTGCTGGTTCGCGAACTCGTTCAAGTTTATCCCGCTTTACACCTTTAAACCAAATTTCATCAAAATCGGACAAAAATTACTCAAGTTATCGCGTTCACGGACGTATATATATATATACACACACAAGTCTATATATATATATATATATACATATATAAAAATTTGAACGAATAGTGTTTTTGGCCTCTGGGGACATAAAAATGTAAAAGTAAATCGGTCCCGGGTCTAGGTCTTACCGTGCCACCTACGGTAATAGCTACTTCCCTATAGGGAAATTCCCTAAAACTAACTGTGTTGTGACTAAGCTGTTGGAAAGCTTAACTCGTGTAGATTTGCAAATAATTGTGAAAGTAAGTTTTTGTGATGAATCATAGTGAAAAATTAAAAAAATGAATAAATGAATAAATGAATAAATAAATGAATAAATGAATTTATTTCCCATATTACATAACACTTTACAATCATAATAATTGTTGAGAAATGTAAACTGGTCACTTTTTCAAGTAGTGTGACCAGTTAAAAGGTTAATCATACATAATAAATAATAAGTTGTTGAGTCTAGCATCAGATGACAAATATTTTATCCGCCTGCTGTGCTGTAACATCTGGGCAAAGACTAAGAAAGTGTTAACAAAATACACATAAAACTAGTGGCTTTTAGGGGCAATAGCCCCTATATATAATATATATTCTGTCTCATGGGTTGAACCTTGAACCATTGGGTTGATCTCCATTGGGTCAACTTGAATTATCGTTTAACATTTTTGTATATTATAATATGTATAATAATTATTACATACCTGTTTACAGTAATGCATTTTGTTGTCTGCTCTGTTTAAAATAAAAGTTCCAAAAGACTGTTCATGCGGTATTATACAAACTTTCTAATCATAAATACAACTAAGGGACATTTTCAATTATAATCTTCATGACTATTAATTAAATACATATAAAGCTCTTTGAATATAGACAAATTCACTTAGATTAAACACATAGAGATAATGTCATCCTCCAGATTGTAAAATGCTAATTACAATGACAGAAAAACATTGTATTTTGTATTTTGTTTATAACAAAATCTCTCTGAAAACAACATTTGTTGTATGGTATCCATTTTGGTCGATTCCTTCGTCTTTATTTGATTCTAGTACTATTTTAACATATCTGGCCGCTTTACCTGTCTAAAAGCATCATAAAGTTGACCATGGGTAAACACTGTTTTTTATTTTCAAATAAATGTCAACTTTTGTTAAGGTTCGGCCTTGTCCTTTGCTTTAATAATAAGTAATATTGAAAGCTAATCGCAATGGGAACTGAATACCGGGTACTTGTAAACTTAAAAGGCATATCAGTATCTATAGATATTAGTTTTATTTTCGGCATACAAAAATAAGTCCCCTTTGCCTACTGCAGTAATCACTTCTAACTTTACACTTTGTTCAGACATACCTAACACAACCAATCGTACTCTATTAAATAATCCAGACCCTTAAAATTGGGAAAATGTCTATTTCAACTTTATAATAGTATGCATATTACAGTACATATTACATATCATATGCTTTAAATAAAGTTAAACCACATGTTTTAAAGTAAACAAAGCAGGCATGACCTAGATTCCCATGTTATTTAAATGTGAATTATTTTATTCCGTAACAACCGTTTGGTGCACAATTAAGAAAAATGAATATTTTTCCCCAAAATTTCATGCCGAGACCTTTAAAATGAGACCTCTCCCAGCTTTCTACGTCCTCCCGTTCGCTCACAATTTCATTGTAAAATTTTGGGCTTACGAAATTAGATATATAGATAAGGTAATGGTAACACAATCTTATACCAAAGAGTTGGTAAGATAACCTACATCCTGTCGAGAACTAAGCCAAGTGATTGTTCTTTTACAAAAGTGTTTGAAATTTCTTGTATTTTTAATATGAAGCGGAAGCTGATTGTAAAATTTTGGACCCAAGTATTGAAATGAATGTTTGAAAAAAGTTTTGTTTACTTTGGGTAATTTGATAGATTTATTTGTAAAACTTCTTGTACTGTAAGGATGATTTGGAATTATATTTTCTCTGTTTCCGCTCCGGATGAAGAACCTCAGGACTTTAAAAATAAAAAGATGTTGAACTGGTAGAATGCATAACTGTTGGTATAATGGAAAAGAGCTAGTTCGTTTAGGTTTTTTGAGAATTATTCGCAAGAAAAAATTTTGAGTTGTTCTAATCTTCTCTAATAATGTTTTGTAAGTACCTCCCCTAATATGTTTTCTATGTATATCGAAAACAGGGGTTTTAAAATTTTTATTTGTATGCAACTTTTGGCTGCCTTTTTGAGTATTTTCAAGAAATGCATGGTATCAATTTGTAGGAAATGTTATTCTCCTTTAAGATTATCACCTTCCACTTTTGTCAATTTCCTCACCATTAATAAGTTATTTGCAAAAGCTAATCAGCCTCCGAACTTATAGTAGGTAGTGTGTTTTTGTTAAAATTTGTACTACTACAGTAAATATAGACTTCTACTGGAGCGATTTTGTTAATTAATGGGTCATTGGAAAGCCTAATTTGTGTAGATTTGCAAATAATTATGAAAGTTTGATTTTATTGAATATTTGAGATGAAAAAAATATAAAAAACCAAAAATACATTAAAAACTGTATTTTTTCAAGTTTCCCCTACACCTATCTAAGCGTATTTGGTGCCAACTTTAGGCTGCCTTTATTGAGTATTTTCAAGAAGTACATTATAGTAATTTGTAGGAAATTTTACTTCCTTTCAGAATCTCATCATCCACTTTGGTTGATTTCCTCACCACTTAAAAGTTACTGTATTTGTAAAAAAGCTAAGCAGCCTTCTGAATATACTGGGAGAGAAAATACTGAGTTGGAGATATTTTTTTACTTTGTACAACTAAATCTACAGTTCTACTGTATCGATTTTGTCAATTAATGGGATGTTAAAAAGCCTAATTCGTGTACATTAGCAGATAATTATGAAAGTTTTATTTTGTTAAATATTTTTGTAGTGAAGAATAAAAAAATAAACAAGAATACTTTAAAAGCGGCCTTATTCGTTTCTAAAGTTTCTATTTGTTAATTTGTAGCCAACTTTGAGCTGCCTTTATTGAGTATTTTCAAGAAATCAAATACATAGTAGGCCTATTGATTTGTAGGAAATTTTATTCTCTTTCAGAATATCACTTTTTACTTTGGTCAATTTCTTTGCCATTTAAAAGTTATTTGCAAAAAAGTAAGCAACCTCTGAATTTATAGTTGTTAGAAAATACTGAATTAGAAAAATTTTGTTAAACTTTGTAGAATTGAATCTACAGTTCTACTTGACAGATTTGATTAAATAATAGGCCAATGGAAAGCTTCATGCATGTAGATTTGTAAATAATTATGAATGTTTGATTTTTTTAAAGATTTGTGGCAAAAATGGGTTTTGTGGCTAGTAATTAAATAATACATTAAATTGTATTAGGAACAACTATGCTATCTTTAAATTGTTAGCTGGTAAGATACAATGTATGCTCAGGTGCGGGACATGTTCAACAAGCTCCGTCGCACACTAGAGACCAGACTGCGCACAGTGCCGTGGCTGGACGACATGACTCGTACTGCGGCTCTGCGTAAACTAGAGACTCTCAGAGGTCACTTCCTCACCTGGCCACAGCTTTGGAACCAGACCTTCCTCAACTCTCTCATGGATCATGTAAGCAGCTTACCTCCCCAGGCTTCCTATGTCAATTTTAGTATTAAATAAAAATAATAATAAATTAATAACTCCTGTCTTGTGAGCACTGTACTATAATACTTTTAAATATTTTAAGTATTTTGGATGTAGTTTTGTTGCCATTTTTTGGACCCCTATTTCCGCCATTATTTATTATTGAATTGTAGTACCAGCCTTCAATCTAGTTGAAATCTACTCCAACCATAGATGGCAGTTTTCTTAGGCTTCTCCTGCCTAATCGAAAATATGGCCCTGTTGGAGAGTTGTGTTTATTACACTTATTATTACATTGTAGTAAGGAGCTTACACTGCCTAATGGGAAATATGGTCCTGATGCTGGAGATTTGTGTTTAATACATTTATTATTGCATTGTAGTACCAGCTTACCCTGCCTGATCGGAAATATGGTCCTGTTGGAGAGTTGTGTTTATTACACTTGTCGCATTGTAGTACCAGCTGATACTGCCTAATGGGAAATATGGTCCTGATGCTGGAGAGTTGTGTTTAATACATTTATTTTTGCATTGTAATACCAGCTTGCCCTGCCTGATGAGAAATATGGTCCTGTTGGAGAGCTGTGTTTATTACATTTTATTATTGCATTGTAGAAACCAGCTTACACTGCATAGTGGGAAATATAGTCCTGTCGGAGAGCTGTGTTTATTACATTTATTATTGTATTATAGTACCAGCATAGGCTACACTGCCTGATGGGAAATGTGGGTACGGGGTTTTACGGGAGGTTTTATGGGGTTAAAATTAGGTTTTCTCATTTTCGACCTTCAAAACAAAAAAATCCTTATTTCTCTTAGTACCATTTTTAAGAGCTTAAAAAACAAATAAATTAGTATATTGATAGGTTCTTTTACGGTTATTGGTCACTGAAAAAATTCAAAAAATCATCTATACTTATTTAATGCGCAAGCAGGATTTTTGTGACAATTACTCCTCCGAAACTACTGAACCGATTGACATGTTTTTGGTGTCATTGGAAAGAGCGTAACGTGAAGTTGTGCAGGAAACTTTCTTTTTAGGGAAATAATTAGAGAGTGCATGAGGCCCTGGGGCCCTTTAAAGTTTCGTATTTCTCCATAAGATTAACATGGGAAACAAACATTGTTATGAAACTACAGCTGTTGTCAGAAATGCTGTTCTGCTATATTTAATTTAATTTACAAGGAGAATTGTTTCTTGGTGCCATATGGTCAATGAATTATACTTTTGCATATATTTTAAATGCTATACACTATATAAAATGATATTACTGTAATACATTAAGAGATCTTAATTTAAATAATCAATAAGCGGGATTGAGCTTTTGCGTATATGTTTCCTGGTAAGTTAAGTGTGTTGTAACTGTTTCTCATAGTATATTATCAAAGTAAACCCGAATTATTCTTTTCTGCATTCTCACCCCGTAGCGAAGCACGGGCAGAGCAACTAGTAAATTTAAAATTACCATGCTATTCTTACCGAGAATAAGTAATCTGTTGTAGTTTGCTTGTTTACGGATTTATTTATCAAACTTGGCAAATTAACTTATTTTATAGGGTACTAACCTATTGATATTCTACTAAAAAAACCACTTTATTACCCTTCCTGTAGCAGCAAACCTAGGTACTTCTTAATGTTTTTTAAATAGATTTAATTGAAAATCCAATCGGGCAAATGGAAATTTGCTTAGTCTGCAGGTTTGCTGTGGCGGAGGAATTTAAATTTTGATACGTTTAGATGTGGATCATTAAAAAAAAATATGCCGGCACCACCCATAGCCACTGGGCGAAAAAATCTCAGTACTCAAACTAAGTACCCAGTTAATATGTTATTTTATGCCCTGGCCTACAGTTTATAGTGGAATCCCAACCACATTTTTGCCTTGTAATTAAAGAATTTGTCTTATTATCAGGATAGTACTGCGGAAAGTCATAGTACTCACTAGTGCGGACGTTAATCCACACCAGGAAATATCGCATCTACAGTGCATGCCTGAGTGAAAATTTAAAAACGTACGTTTTCATGTCCCTGGCCTTTTACTTCGTAGATACTGGATTTGTAGTTTATTATTATGTGTTTTAATATTTTTTGGGACGGGGGCAACATGTTACACACATTTAATTGGTTTTAAATAGGTTCTAGGTATTTTTTTTGTATTTTTAAAGTCTCGTGACTCACGACCGTCACGTGTCCCTAGGGTACATTTTCCAACTTTCACGCTGTTTTTAGACTAATTATTCATGCCGAAATATATAAAGCCATATTTTTATGTCATCAATGGTTATTAAATTTACATAAAAGGAGCATATTATAATTTTATTTTCATTGCAAACTGACTACCATGACAAAATGAGTCTGTCCCTCAATTTGGCGTCACGACCATTTGGGAAAAATTTTTAACTTTGGAGCACGACAGTGGCAAGCCTGGCGTCAATGGAGTCAGTTGGTTTTAGAGACTAGTTCGGGGTGTACGTCAGGATTGTAGTGCCGGTCGTTTCGAGTTGAAAGGAGGAATTACAAGATTAATAAAGGAAAGATTGTGTTTTTTGTAATTTTGGTGTGTCCATGACCGTGAAGTAGTCATTCGATGAAGTAGACAAGTGTTAATTTTTGTTTATTAGATATTCCAATTGCTAGATTAACCTAGAAGTCCACTTTGTATCCTCGAACATGAGGTGCAGGGCTACCGCCAGAACAGAGCCAAATAACACGTAATTTCACAACCAAAGTTTCACAACCATCGCGAGTTTTTTCACGACCAATCCAGCCTTATGGATTATAGTGTGTTTGGTCGTGACAATAACTTTAATATAATTGTAAATTGAACAGTTTAGTTCAATTAAAACACATATTTTTATTATAACTAACAGTATAATTGAAGGATTGTTTAGAAAGATTTAGATTATTCAAGACAATTCACGACCGTACCGCTTGTCCCTGACCATCACGTTTATGATTTCTATCATAAAAATTTCAAAAATTAAAATATCGTCATATTTCAATGTTTTATACACAAAAGAAGCACACCTCTATACAAACATAACGATTTTTCGGGTCTCAGGTAAGTTTTTTCGCAGTTATACAAACTTAAAAAGATTTTATTGGCTTATTTTCAATTTTTTGAGTATTTTTATTTTTTTCTAGAAAGACCAAATATACCAAAAGCTTAGTGACCTTTTTATTGTATAATGGTCATAAAAGTAAATTAGTTTATAGCAAAACATAGTTATAAAAATAATATTAACCATTTTTAATATTCATTTAAACGTCCGTTATGGTCGTGACAGGATTTTGTGTTTTTCCACTAAAGATGCGCTTTTAAAAAAAAAATTACCAAAGATATTGCGTTACCATGGACATTTTATGAAACTTCAAATGTTAATGAAATAAAAAAATAATAAAAGTTTTGATAAAAGGGGAAAAAAATTTGCAAAGTGCTTTTCCTGAAAACGTACGTTTTTAAATTTTCACTCTCCTATAAACATCCACAATTCGTGACCTCCTAGTAGCTGGATTATCCAGCTAGGAGGCTGGATTACAGGACAACACCATCGTCCCAGTACTAGTTAGGCTCAAACAGGGGAAAATTATGATTATTTGATTCTAAGTGTTTTAAATTATACAAAAAATGTTTGTTGTAGTTGGAGGTTACAGAAACAGATTTCTTCCACAACGTAATTACAAGATATCGCCAGATTCGGACTCCACCACCTGACTTTCACAAAGAGCAGCCTTCAGATAAAAAGTGAGATTTTTACTACAGCAAACCTCTTTATAACCTTACTATATGTAATCAAGAATCTAAAACCTCATTACACATCAAGATAGTAGCAATGGCTGTTAAATATATGGAGTTGAGAATAAGAAGTTGCTTTTATATTACACACTGGATCAGAAAATGATTCAGTAGGACTGACTGATTCTGCGACTGACACACAGTGTCTGAGACTACCGGGTACTGGCAAGTGAAAAGGACTAGACTTCAAGATGCCGCTTTGATGGGAAGCAAACAAATAGCATCAATACAGTAGCTGTAATTAGTGTTGACTAAATGAAAAACAACCATCCATTCCGATTTCAGATTTACACAGTTCAATTTTTTCTCAAAGATTATACCTGGAGATAGTTTTTGGGTATATGTGTTATTTCAAGTGTTTAAGCATTTGCACATTTAATCAGGCAGTTTACTCTATTTAGATAATTTTCTCATGGGGAAGTAGTTGTTAAACAGTATTTATGATGTGTATTTAAGTCTAGAACTACTCTGATACTTCTTTGTTTTAGAGTAGACAAAATGCATTAAATCAACTGAAAATTCTCTTACTCTGAACACGGGGCAATTGTTTTAAACGTGAAGGTCTTAATTACCATCAGAAAACTATTTATATCAAGTAACTCAGTTTATATATTTTATTCTTATTTTTAGGTGGGCATTTCCATTTGTAGTGAATGCTTTCTATGACATCACACTAAATAGTATAGGTGAGTCACTGTACAATGTATAGTGTGATCAATTATAAGTAGTTAGAAACTTGTGCCATAACTGAGTTAATTGTAAGTACCTATTTAAAAGAAGGGATGCCTTTACACTATTTAAAAGCTCAACTTTAAAATTATTCTAAATGTATTTGAAACGATGCCAGTATCTTGGAAAGGAAACAGTAAATGAAACACAATCAAAACTGGCAGGCTAGAGTGAAACTATTACTTGAAATAAGAAGGTTTAGGGTGTTTTACATTTCAAAGTCTGATGTATTATTGGTGTGACCTCAAGTTGATAGTAGTAACGGTTGACTCTTAGGGCCGGCGCGCACTATCCCGACCACGACCACGACCACGACTCCGACTGGTCGGATACGACCAGTTTTATAATAGGAATAAATGGAACAGCGCGCACTGGTCGACTGGTCGGACCCTGGTCGGGCCCTGGTCGCACGACCAAAATTTTCCAGTTTGGTCGGGCCCGACCCGCTGGTCGTTGCAGCCAAAAATAGCACACAATGTAATGGGACGACGCGCACTACCCCCGACTTGCCTCCGACCCGACCAGTACACCACTCAACCCCCAGTATTCCTAGACCAATCAAACGGTGAGCACTAGTTTTTTGCGCCGGTCTGTAAAGTGACTCATTTGGTAAAATGTCGCAGGATTTTGACACTTTTGAAACCTGTCTTCATATTGACGTAGCTCTTCATAAAATGTTGCAAAATGCCCTTTCAGACCTGACAATTAACATTGGATGTACCCAGTATAGTTTCTTCTTCCGCTTAACGTACTTACAATACAAATGCGCCATAACAACTACTTCTTCAACAATCATCTTGACACTGAAGTTTGTAAAATATTCGTTGCCTTGGTCGGGTCGTGGTCGGGTCGTGCTCTGGTCGCATGGTGAATGACAACCACTGGTCGGGCGTTTGGTCGTGGTCGTGGTCGTGGTCGGGATAGTGCGCGCCCGGCCTTACTTACATTTTATAAAAATCAACGGTTTATGACCTGTGAAATAAAGGGTATCAGCAATCAGACACATATTTTCTCCCATTTGCTTGTCAACAACCTTTATCATGGGTAAGTGGTGGGAGTACTAGGATGTTTTTATGGGGAAAATCACAAAAGCTGCAATAGCTTTTAAACCATAATTTTTACAGCAATAGGAATTTTACCATATTGTTAAGAATAATTATAAAAACCGTAACATACAAAATTTTAATCAAAATCTATAGAGCCGTCTTTTTAAAAACGGGATTTTTCCGTTATTTTATGGGAAAATCACATAATTTGCAATAACTTTTGAATTGAAATTTTACATTGATGGGGGTTGTACTGTTTTTTAGTGTTTTGTTAAGAATTAAAACTACTAGGCCTATAACATACTAAATTTTAATAAAATAATTCAGGCTATTTTTAATCATTTAGATTTTTCCATTTTTATGTGGTATTCCCATAGTTTTAAGAACAAATTATTAATTATGTTGGTTTACCTTATGATTGCCAGGTTCTTGATGAATGAAGAAGTTTAAGCTCTATTTACATTTCGCCACAAGTGTGGCATCTTCAGTAGTTGATTTGAGTTTCTTGTTTCTTGTCAGATCACTTAAAGTCACTAAAAAACACTATCCTATTTTTTTATTTACACTTATTTATATTTAAGTCGGCGGACGATTCATGGCGTGAGTGTAGAAATCCAAGCGTGCTACATATGTTGAGTGTAAAAATCCAAGCGTGCTACATATGTTACTGTCCAACTGCCCGGCTATTGTCCTTGTACTGGCTTCTTGAGGTGTGTTAGGTAGGTCAGGGGATGGGGGTGAGTTTACGATGTTAGCTTTCTCTTCTAAGACTGCGATGTTGCCAAGTCTCTGCGGCGTTGTCATATTGTTCTTCTAGCTGGTTTATGAGTTTGAAAATTATGTATAGAATTTGTAAACATTGTAGGATTGTTAATGATTTAGGAAATGAAATATGGTGATTCGGATTACTTTTAAGGTTTTTGGCAACTAATGATTCTGGATTGGTATGGTGACTAGCAATATGTTCTTTGAATCTTTGTTTGAATGATCTGTGGTTGTATCCGATGTGTTATTTGTGACGTGCACATGTTATTTTATACACGCTCCTTTCTTGTTCTATTGGCTTGCTAATTATTTCTGTCAATTTGTAGTTTGGGACTGGGTTTGTTTTAACTCTGTATGCTGGTTTGTAGCCTGCATTGTTGAAGATTTTCCCTATTTTCTTTGTTATTGGATCAGTATAGTTGATTGATACGTATTTTGTCGGTTCTATTGCCTTATCGTGGTCTATGTTGTCTTCTAAAGGGTTGAATTTTATTTTCTTTCGTATTTTATTAATAATTTGTTTCAATAATTTGAGGGTTTTACCCATTGTTGGTGGCTATCAATTCTATTGTTTGTTTTTCTTTGCTGTATTCTGATTGGCTGAGGTTGTATCAGTAATGTAAATAAGTGTAAATAAAAAAATAGGATAGTTTTTTTAGTGACTTTAAGTGATGTGACAAGAAACTCAAATCAGCTACTGAAGATGCCACACTTGTGGCAAAAGGTACATAGAGCTTAAACTTCTTCATTCATCAAGAACCTGGCAATCATAAGGTAAACCAACATAATTAGATTTTTCTGTTATTTCATGGGTTTTTATGGAAAAATTACACTTAAAATCAAAATATGAAAAATAAAGAAATCTTGGAGATACCGTGGATTAGTACTCACATACCAAGTCATCAAAATCAGACTTCAGGAGTAGTCTGTCTGTAGCTCTGTACACATCTACACAGATATCACTTTGAAAACAATATCTAATACTCAAACTTGAAACTTTTGACAAAAACAATACTTTCTCCATATACTATGTATAGAAGGAGAAAGTATAACAAAATTTCATAGAAGTTCCGGGATATTTGTTTCTCGTTTCTGTCCACAAATGTAAGACTAAACATAACATAATATTGTTTAAAGATTCAGCCACAGCTGGAGAAATTGTAATTGAATGGTAGAAAAATTCAATTGCAAAACAGTAAAGACCCTACACATATGACAGGATGTTTCCATTGGAACAGCCTTCATGCATTTATATATCAAAAATTTAATTTCAATTATTTAGTGCTCTTTAAAACCAAAGCATATTCCAAAAGAGGAAAACATATTGAGCGAGTCATCAAACAACTATTTGTCAGATTACCATAAAGGTTCTTTACGTTATAAAAGAAATATTTGCAAAGTACTTTTACTATTCAGTGGATTTTGTCTTGACAGCGATCCCACTGGCTGTGTTGACGCAGCCCTACTTCAGCAAGGACATTCCACAGTATATCCCTTACGCCACCATGGGCCTCGTGTTTGGGCATGAGATGTTGCACGGCTTCGATCTTACAGGTGAGAATTGTGTCAGGAGGGATGAGGCAAAGACTCTTAAGATGAGTCACACCACTAGATGCTAATGTAATTAAATTAATCCAACTGCAATTAATTTATGAAATTACTGTACAAAATATCCCCTTCTCAGCAAACCTATAGAGTAGGCAAACTTCCATTTGTCCGATTGGATTTCTATTAAAATACCGGTTTAAATGTCAAATCTATCTATCTACTACTTATAATTAAGTTTTAAAAATGTTTGTACAACTAAATCTAATGTTCTACTGCACCGATGTTCTATTAAAATGCCGGTTTAAATGTCAAATCTATCTATCTACTACTTATAATTAAGTTTTAAAAATGTTTGTACAACTAAATCTAATGTTCTACTGCACCGATTTTATTAACTAACTCTTTCCAGCACGGAAAATACAGGTGTCAGGTGACCCCAACCTGCACGGATTTTTTTTTTATATGTTTGTAAATACTTTATAATTTGTGTTTAGAATATTAAAAATTAAGTTAGAGGGTTTTTAGGGTATATCATAAATACAAATGCAAATTACAATATAAGAAAGTATATATTTTACACATATTCAATATAAAGCATTACAACATCATATGGAGACCTGAATAAATGTAGTAAAAGAAAATTCACACACTGATAAATGTAAAAAAAAATTATAAAATGTAAAAGTTACTTAGCCAAAACAAAGTATATAAAGGCCAATTTATATTTAAGTAATATAAACATAAATTTAAAGGCGGGTTTCAATAAAAAAATGTTCCAATATACCAAAACTTTATCCTAAACTAGCTGTAACCCGCGGGCTTTGCCCCGTTTAACTTCTTAATTTTCAAGATTATCTCGTTCGCATGGCTCAATCACGTCCTGGTTGAAGTTTGTTCGCTACGCTCACTCACCTTTAGGTTGGAGCTCGTTCGCTACGCTCACTCACCTTTAGGTTGGAGCTCGTTCGCTACGCTCACTCACCTTTAGGTTGGAGCTCGTTCGCTGCGCTCACTTGCCTTCAGGTTAGCTCGTTCGCTACGCTAACTCGCCTCCAGGTTGAAGTTCGTTCGCTACGCTCACTCACCTTTTGGTTGCAAATTAGCTGTTGTCATAAATGTAAAAGAAATAATAGTGCTGCACCCTGTTGGTAATCCTTGAAACTTTAATGCTATTGAACATCATAGAACAGAACCAACTTGTTTAATTGAAACAGCTGTTAAGATTCAATAATTCCATTTCTCATAAGGTTAACATGGGAAACTCCAGAGCCACTGGGGCGGAGCCCGAAAGGATTTTTGAAATAAGAATATGCCTATATGTTAATCGGGAATGTGAGCTATCATCATGCCAAATTTCAGCCCAATCCGACCAGTATTTTTCGAGTTTACTTTTCCCATACACACATACACACATACAGCAACCACCTCTTTTTTATAATAGTATAGATTGTAATGACATAAGAAAAAACTATCAATATCGAGCCAAAAATATGACAAAACCTATTTATAATGTCATATTATTTATAAAAATGCATAAATGCAATTAAAATTAAGTTTCTGGAGGATTTCATAGTTAATTTATTATTTATGGATAGATATATTTGGAACGCTGAGCTGCATGGTGTTACATTTGAGTAACGCACTTTGAAAAATCAAAATACATTCTAGTCGACTGATTTTATAGACTATTACAAGGGACGCCCCAAAGGGGTCCCCAAATTACGATGACAGCTGGCATGGCCAGCAAAACGTAACTTTCAGCCACCAATTAACGTATGCAATACAGCCAAAAACATCATAGTGTGGTGAAAACTGCTTTTTCAGGTTTCTGTTTTCAAGTTTATATTTGTAGCCAGTTTTTGGCTGCCTTTATTAATCTCTTTCAGAGTATCACATCCACTTTGGTCGATTTACTCACCATTTAGAAGTTATTATAACAGTACATCACAAAACAGCATAGGAGTCATATAATCAATAACAACATATCTTTCATTTGCATAAAAATAAAGACGGGATCTTGGGCACGAGTCTTTCACCAGGAACAGCTGTTTTCTAGGAGTTATTTGTAAGAGTGTAAACAAATGGATGGTGCTGCCACCTAGCAAAGGTCCATAGTACTAACATTTAAAGTTTCCAGATGCATAGCGCTAGTAGTATTGTTTACAAAAAATAAAATGTCTCGCGTTACAAAGATGTAACACCGTGCAGCAAAAAAGTCAAAAAAGTCCGTTACATAAATGTAACACTGTGCTTGAAAGAGTTAATGGGTCTTTGGAAAGCTTAATTTGTATATTTGCAAATAATTATAAAAGTTTGTTTTTGTTATGATTTATGGTTGAAATTCTTTAAAAACCACGTTTTCCGTAAGCCTTAGTCACTAACAAGAATACAAGATCAAGCCACTCATCCTACACTCATCTCCATTCATACTTACCTTAGAATACCTACTTTGTATGGTAGCCATTTCATTGAAAAGTATTGAAGTATCAAGAAATACATTGAAAATGGGGGTTTTAACTTTTTTTTAATGCAAATTTTGGTATGCATTGTTGAGGATTTTCAATTTGTGAGAAATGTTATTCTCTTTCGGAATACCTTCCACTTTCGTCGATTTCCTCACCATTTAAAAGTTATTTGCAAAAAAAGCTAGGCAACCTCCAAATTCATAGTAGTGAGAAAATACACCGAGTTAGAGATATTTTTGTTAAACTTACAACTAAATCTAGACTTCTACCAGACCTATTTTGTTAATTAATGGGCCATTGGATAGCCTAACTCATGTAGGTTGGCAAATAATTATAAAAGTGGGATTTTATTAAATATTTGCTGTGAAAAAGTAAAAATAACAAAAATAAATTAAAATAGTATATTTTGTACCTAGAGCCGAAAATGAGGTTTTGCCGGCTCGAGATAGTTTTTAAGTTCGAGACGAAGTCGAGAACTTAAATCGATCGAGAGCTGCAAAACCATTTCGGTCCGTGGTACGAACGCTATTTTTCACCACACTATACCCTATTACCACTATTCACCACTATAATAATGCACACTGATCGTCAACACAACTACAACTTTAAGGTTATGTGAAGAAATAATTTAAGGAATCAGCAAAAATAAAAATAAATAGTTGCTAGGCAACGGTGACAATAACCCAATTCTATTGCAATGCTATGGATTTTGATTGTGTATTTATAAAATGCATTCATGTTTTAAGTAAGTAAGTGGACAGCTGATTTTGCGGGCCCGGCCTGTAAAAACCTGCTCGGTCCCCAAATTACGATGACAGCTGGCATGGCCAGCAAAACGTAACTTTCAGCCACCAATTAACGTATGCAATACAGCCAAAAACATCATAGTGTGGTGAAAACTGCTTTTTCAGGTTTCTGTTTTCAAGTTTATATTTGTAGCCAGTTTTTGGCTGCCTTTATTAATCTCTTTCAGAGTATCACATCCACTTTGGTCGATTTACTCACCATTTAGAAGTTATTGTCAAATCAAATAAGCTAAGCGACCTCCAAATTTTATAGTTGTTAGAAAATACTGAATTAGAGATATTAAACTTTGTACAACTAAGAGCCCTATTATGCGCGGCCACTTGAGTGGCGTGCGACCGCGACTGCTCAGTCGCTTGGGGTGACCACAGGTGTAGCTAGGGGTAGCGAAAAGTGTGGCGAGGTCACACGTCCAACCGAATTTCATACAGACTTGCATGTAGTTTCTCAGTGTGAATGATGTAGTAGTTAAATAAAGAAGCTGAACTATTTATTTTTCTTTTACTAGCGTCCTAAACGTAGACAAAACAAAAGTATTGGGAGTCCATCCATTACTAAAGTAAGACCTTCAGGAGTATTCTTAAGTTTTTGTATGATAATCTCAGAGAGGATGACAAGAAGTTTTTTGGGTGTTTCCGGGAGACGAAACGTTCTTTTTATGACCTTTTAGGAAGAATAGAAGACAACTTACCCGTAAGAATGTGAATAATTTTATTTCAGCTAAGGAGAGGCTTGCACTAACCTCATAAGTTAAATATTATAATAGTTTTTATTTAATATAATCACAATTAATACAATATTAGCAGCAAAACTCGTCGTTTCCCGGGTCAAAATAAAATTGTCAATAATGGTAGCCTACCGGTAATAATAGGGGTGCACAGAAGGAGCCTCCCCGAAGATTGTGACCATTACACGCTAAGAACGACATCACAATCGGGCACACCCCGGGCAACGCTGACATGCCAGCGGCAAATCCTTCTACAACCGGAATACTTCGAAAAATGAATCTGCCTAAACAGTCTTTTTCAAGGCCATTAGTAACGATCTCGATTAATATCGAGGGAATATTGAGAGACAAATAAATATTAGTGTCTGATATGTGCAAGACGCACGAATGCGACTTCCTTCTTGTGCAAGAAACACACCGGGGCCTTTTAAAACCTAGACCCAACATGAACCTAGAGGGAATCAGACTTATTCTAGAGAGACCTCATGATCAATATGGTAGCGCTGTTTTTGCCAGGTAATACATTGACATCACCTCAGCTTCGCTGACTGAGAGGAACAATACTAAGATACTAACGGCCAAGACACCACAGTACAGTGTCACCTCTTTGTATAAGCCTCCCGAATCTCAGTAAGTATTTACAGAGCCCAATAATCTATGCTATAATGACATTAATTTCGTCTTGGGGGATTTTTATTGTCAGAGCATTGCTTGGGGATACAAAGAGACAAGTGAAAATGGAACAAAACTTGAAACCTGGGCTGAGGCAAATGACCTGCAGCTCATACACGATCCTAAGCTCCCTTGCTCCTTTAACAGTGGTAGATGGAAGAGAGGTTATAACCCTGACAACATCTTTGTGAGCAGCAGGATTGCCTCACAGTGTGAAAAGTCTGCAGGTGACCCGATTCCCCGAACTCAACACAGACCTATAGTATGCACCGTTAGTGCTGTTGTTAACCCTGAAGGTGTTCCTCTAAGGCGCAGGTTTAATTTCAAAAAGGCCCACTGGACGGGTTTTAGGGAGATCATTGACAGATAAATTGCCAATATCCCTCCACAACCTGATATGTATGACTCCTTCGTCAAGCTTGTCCAACAGATTTTGAGAAAAATCATACCTATAGAGGCTGTCGAACCCATTACATCGTAGGACTCTCTGAAGAGGCAAAGCCACTGCTAGAACGATACCAAGGTATCTTTGACAATGATCCCTTTACTGAGGACACACTTCTAGCAGGTGAAGAGCTTATGTCAGTCATTGCCGAAAATCGCAAAACTAAGTGGTGTGATCTTGTGGAGAGTTTAGATATGCAGGTGAACAGCAGACGAGCCTGGAAGTTCCTCAAGAACATAAATGGAGATGCGACAAAACCAAAAGACAACTTTACAACAGTTACTGCCGATCAAGTCGCTACCAACCTTCTTTTAAATGAAAAAACCTATGGAAGGAAATACCGGGAGCCTGTTGTGCGTGATATGGCAAGTGAGAATCACTTCCTGGAAGAACCATTCACCATGTCCGAGCTAACTGCAGTCATTACCAGCTTAAAGAATAATAGAGCTCCATGTATTGACGAGATCAGAGTCGAACAACTAAAGAACCTAGGTAAAAATGCCATGCAATGGTTGTTGAGCTTCATGAACATGTGCGTAAGCCAAATGCATATACCAAATGCATGGAGAAAAGCTCGTGTGGCTGCACTGCTAAAACCTGGGAAAGATCCAAACGATCCTAAGAAATTTCGACCTGTTTCTCTCTTATGCCACACATATAAAATCTTAGAACAACTGATACTCAATCGAATCGCTGATTTTCTAGAACAAAAGATCATTCCACAACAGGCAGGCTTTCGAGCAGGCAAGTCTTGTTGTGGCCAAGTTTTAAACCTGACCCAGCACATTGAGGATGGGTTTGAGAGAAAACAGATCACGGGTATCGCTTTTGTAGATTTAACAGCTGCCTACGATACCGTAAACCATCGAAGACTCTTGGGAAAAGTGTACAGCATTACCAAAGACTATCAGCTGACTTCAATGATAAGCACTTTTCTTCATAACAGGCGGTTTTTTGTGTCCTTTCAAAGCAAGAAAAGTAAATGGAGGAATCAAAGAAACGGATTGCCTCAGAGTAGCGTCTTAGCCCCAGCTCTTTATAACATATACACTAATGACCAACCGTTGCCAAACGCTACACGTCAGTATATATATATGCCAATGATACGGCGGTGGCGGCACAAGGTAGGAGTTTTGAAGAGGTGGAACAGAAGCTGACTATGACTCTGAACTTTCCCAGTACTATGACACAAATCACCTCAAGCCGAACCCTGCTAAGACCCAAGTCTGTGCCTTTCACCTAAACAATAGAGAAGCAGGCCGTGAGTTGAATGTGAGGTGGCGGGGAGACCATCTTCAGCATTGTCCTACACCCAAATATCTTGGTGTCATACTGGACCGCACACTGACATTTAAGGCACATTGTATTGCGACAAGAGGTAAAGTCTCAGCGAATAATATCATCAGGAAGCTCACCAGCAGATACTGGGGTGCTAACCCTAATGTCCTCAGAACCTCAGCTTTAGCTCTCAGTGTGTCGGCTGCGGAGTACGCTGCACCAGTATGGAATGCATCGTCACATGCAAAAAAGGTTGACATTGCAGTCAATGACATGACTCGGATTGTAACTGGGTGTTTAAAACCAACCCCAGTACACAAACTCTATCCTATCATAGGGATCGCCCCTACATCAATCCGACGTGATGTCGCTGCCAACGCAGAAAGGACTAAGCAAGAGACAGACCCTCATCACCCATTACACGGCCACCAACCTGCAGAGCTTCGGTCCAGAAAGAGCTTTTTATCACGGACATGAGTCCTGGATGGATCACTCTCAAGCAATTGGGTGGCAAGGTGGGAGGCCACGTTGACTAACCTTCCCATACAAGCCAGGGAGGAACTGGCTCCTGGTGGAGGCCTGCATTACACGGTGTGGAAGACCCTAAATCGAATCAGGGTCGAGGTACCAAAATGCAAGACAAACATGCAGAAATGGGGTCTCTTACCAGACGAAGAAAACATCTTGTGTGCGTGTGGTGCTGTTCAGGATCCTGGCCATCTGCTGATCTGTCAACGCCAAGACCAGTCCTGCACATTAGATGATATTTTACAAGCAAATGACAAAGCCATAGCTAATTTTTTTAAAAGCGAAGTCTGATTTCCGGACACGGAAAGTAAGTAAGTACCGGTAATAATTGAGTAACAGAGACAGTATCTTGAAACTGATTCAAATCTTCAACTTCTCAAATTAAAGCCTTTATTTTGAGGAGTAGAACTATTTTAGGACCAAGACATGTAGTTGCGTTAGTTAAATGGCATTACTTAAATAAAAATGGAGTTATGTAACATTGATGGCAGATAAGTGCTAAAATATTAATAATTTTATTGTTGATTGTGATTCAGCATTGTACTTCAGGTACATCTGATCTTAGTAATCAATTGCTCAAAATGAAAGCTGGTATTTCACTGAAGAAGGTTCTTAGACCATAATATATAGGATAATATATTGTTATCATATTATAATATGTTATTATCATCTTGATGTAGACAAATTTGTAAAATTGGTTTAACCGTGGGAAATAAATGAAAATAAATTAAAAATAAATTAAATATGATTGTAAATAGAACTGGCGAAATACTGCTTTCCGCAACCACAGGAGACACACATTCATGATTTCGCAGCAGCTGCAGAGGACGAAGATGATGTCTCAGCGATCGTGCATGATGTTCACTACCGTATTTTGCCCTGAACGTAGAAGACGTTCACGATCCCTCTGCGACCGCGGCAGATGTCCTTGATTTTACTGTGACCGCAGAAGACTCATTCTATGTGGCCACAATTACAGATATTGTATAAACCAATTAAAGTATATCAATTAATTAATTATTTCCAAAACTACCCGACCTTGATCCAATGCCCGAAGTTCAACATTTTCGACTCAACCCGAAAGAAATGATAAATTTATGGCCCGACCTAAGACTAGGGATGTGCATCGATAGTCAATGTTTTTGGAACATCGATATTTTTCTATCGATGTTCAATGTTTTTTACATCGATGGTAGGTTACCGATGTTTTTGGCCAGGTATTGAAACATAGATATTTTCCATTAATGGAGAGTATAAAAAACAGACAAAAAACTGACAAAACACGGATGTTTTAGTCCCAAAAACATCAATATTTTTGCAACGATGTTATCGGTACATCGATGGTTGACGTCGATGTTACCATTGGTGGTAAACATCGATGGTTGACCTATCAATGCTCATTCCTACCTAAGACACCTAATATTATAAAAAACAAAAAATAATAGACTTATTTACTAGCTAGTCTCCTGGGTTTTTTTCCCATCGGAATGTTGGAAACAAAAAGGTAAATTCATCGAGTTGAAGCTACTACGTGTATTTCTAAACCCTTATAAGTTCCTACCTTCGAAGAATCAGAATATAGAGGGGCCTCTCTGGTGAGAGGAGCCGGTGGCCTCATGGATTCTAAATGTAGAAATTAACTGTTTTACAAAATAGGTTAACGAGGAATATATTAATCATGATAAAAAATAAACAAAAACAAACATTTCAAAAATTTATGGTATGGATAGAATTTTCAAACAAATGGTATATGATAAACAAATACTGTAGCAAAAAAAACTTTATGTCATTGAGAATAACACCCAAAATGATTATGAAAACTTATCATTATCTTTCCTATTTTTGACCTGAATAATGAATATACCAAATTTCAGCCTTCTAGCTAGTCTGGAAGTTGGAGAATTAGTGACTTTTATATTTTATAGATACGGTATAGTACGCTGTGTTGTTTAAGGGGTGGAGTATGATGAGAGAGGTCGTCGCAATGCTTGGATGACTCCAGAGGCCAAGTTGAGGCTGGAAGCCAGGCTGGAGTGTTTGGCCAAGCAGTACAGGGCAGCATTCAAGCACCAAATCAGCTTCATGGGAGACACCATTGACGTCCAGGTGATTCATACATTTATAGCACTACTAGGCATCAAAGAATGAGCCAAGAAACCCAATACCCATGTTCAAGAGTGGCTTACAGAGAGGGTTTGCTGGTGTAATTTAAGAGTTCTTCAAACGTGAAAATTTTTAAACATGTTTTCCCATGTATGTTTTAGCAAATTTCCCTATTAGAAGAAGCTATTACTGTAGGTGGCACGAAAAGACCTGGACCCGGAACCGATTTACTTTCTCATTTTGTTTTTGATGCTCAAAGAGGTCAAAAACACCATTTGTTCAAATTTTTACAGATATTTATCTGTGAACGCGATAACTCAAGTAACTTTTGTCCGATTTGCTGAAATTTGGCTTGAAGTTATAGGGGCAGAAAAAAACTTAAACGAGTTCATGAACCAGCATGGGAACAAGGTGTAACAGGGTTTTGAAATTATCACCCTTAAAACATGGAAATGCGTAATTTTCATTATGGTCATTTTGTAGAGCAAAAAATAATTTTGTACTTATTCTGAAACGTAATTCTGTTGCAGAGAAATTAAAAAAAACTGTACATCAAAATTTAATATGGTATTCTTAGGGAGAAAAAGAAAACTGTGTGGAAAATCTATTTATTTCATCCCATACTATTTACATTTTATCAAAAAACACTTCTTCCCTTCCTGGTAGAAGCAAACCTAAGTGATCGTTAAATCTAATGTTGTTTTAAATGGGGGATAAATGTGACTTTTTTGGAAATATTTTAGTTAAAATCAGACAAATTGAAATTCCCTTAGTCTGTAGGTTTCCTGTGGCGGCGGTAGGGATATTTTTCCACAATGTAGGATATGGTCAATCAGGAATATGTTGAGCCAATTTCAAACAAGGAATCGACGCAACATATCAATGGCTTTGATGAAATTTTCAAAATGAGTAATAGCAAAGAAGGACAACAGCTAATTGGTTGGCTATTCAATGAAAATCTGAAACATTTTAAGAATCAGAATCCATTTATTGTCATTTGTCAACATTACATTGCTATAGAAAACGTCAAAGAACATAAGAAATATAGTAATACCGTATGCTGTATTAAAAGAAATAGTTTACTTGTCAGACTAACAAATATAACAGAATAAAATATAACAGAATAAAATATAACAGAATAAAATATAACAAATAAAGAAATAACATTCAGCATCTAATCAATATAAACTATGAAAAATAACAATAATATTGAATAATATGATTATATTATTCTAACTGGGCCAGCGTTACATATGGTGTTCCCCAAGGTTCCATACTTGGGCCTTTATTATTTATTATATTTATTAATGACTTGCCTAATTGCCTTTCCACAAATTCCTGTGCTTTCACTTTGTATGCCGATGACACAACAGCTCTTTTAAAAAGAAAAACACTAAGTGAACTTAAATTAACTTTTGACAGCACAATTAAAAAAATCGATGAGTGGTTTGAGAGCCATGGTCTGAAATTAAATGAATGTAAAACTAATATTCTTCAATTTAAACTCAGAAACAGAGTTACAGACACCACAATCAGTAATACAAAAATTGTTAAGTTTTTAGGTATAAATTTAGACTAAAGATTAATAGTCTTGGGGCAAACTGTATTCCGTGGGATTTTTTGTGAAGCAAATGTGTGACTATGTGAAATCTCTTTATTATATGTCACATAATGGTGTAGTACCGGGTGTTTACCCTCAAATTGCGGGGTTTGGTTTTTATGACGTCGTAAATCCAAGATGGCCGCCATGTGTGACATCTATTCACTAAATTCATAGTAACTCTTTTCAGAGTAAAATAATCGAATTTTAATTTACACCATTGAATTCAGCTCAAAAAATCAAACAATTTGGTGTTTTGAATCATTGCTCTATGACCATTGGTTACCGAGATATTGAAGGCGGAAAACACAGAACATTGTCGCCATGTTATCCTTATAGGGAAAAAAATAAAATTGTATATCTAGCTTATTACTCAGCATATCTTAATAATAATTGGTATGTGGCTTCATTTAGTAGAGATCTACTTGAATATGGCCTAAAATCCCCCATTTTTACATTTCCGTGGCAGCAAACCTGCATACTAACTTCCAATGTTATTCTTATGGACAATTTTTTGCATGCTTGTTCATGAAAATACTTTGAGAAATGATGATGTGTGGCTCCATTTTAATTATTTATTGAAGCATATGTAATTCGTTGAGTATACAGGTCTGCTGCTACGGGTAGGTCTGCTATAAACAAATTATAGGCATTAGAAAATAAAATAAATTAGACTATAGTTGTGAGGCATATGTAATTTTGTAGGATTTTGAATTAAGCAATTGTATGATTGTTGGCGATTGATAGGTAATGACATGTAGAACCGTGTACTACCGAGTATTTTGTCTGAAAATGTGGCCAAGCTGGTGTTTTCGGTCGCCATCTTGGATTCGCCATATTGGATGTTAATAACTTTTTTATACAATGCTAGTGTTGTGACACATCATTATGAACTAAATTTTCACGCTGATTTCAATGCTGAAATATGTTTTTAAATATATTTTTTCGTTTGGAAGATATATTCAAATAAAAACTCTCCCCCTTACATTTCTTACGGACGTTTTGTACTTTGAACATTTTTAAGATTATTTTTCTTATATCTCCAGTTCCTATTAACGCTTGCAGATCGTTCTAGTCTTAAGATATTCAGTGATGTATGAGCTTTCATTTGAGCTATTGATCTTTAAATTCGGTTGAGTTAGAGCGTTAGAGTCGAGCTACGAACCCTAACACAATATTAAATTTAACTTATTACAAATCTGTTTATTTTATTTTATTTATTTATTTGTTAACAGTTGCACCATTTTTACATGAATAATACAATAATCTTACATACGGAAGAAGCAGAAAAAATCACAGGCCAGTACAAAAGTAGTGAAAAAAAACTGGAAAACAAGACTTCAATACAAGACATAAAAAGATAAATAACAACTATAAATAACAAACTATGAATAACAAACTATAAGTAACAACTATAAATAACAAACTATAAATAACAAACTATGAATAACAAACTATAAGTAACAACTATAAATAACAAACTATCTGAACAAGTTGACAAAACGAGATATTCGAAAAACAAAACCAGTATAGGAACAATAACAATGATGCCAGTAGCCGAGTGAAACTTCAGTAAAGAGGCAGAACATACTTCATAAAATACCCCCGTCGCAGCAAACCTGCATACTAAGCGAATTTCCATTTACCCGGCTTGATTTCTACTAAAATATTCCCTATAAATTTTCAGATTTATTTCCATTTTTAAATAACATTAATTTTAGTGAGTAGTTAGGTTTGCTGCTACGGGGAAGATGTTGAGGTGTGTTTTTTCAATTGAAATATTGATAGCTTAGTATGAAATAAACCAAATTGCCAAATTTGATTAAAATATATCCATAAACAAGCAAACTACAACAGAACCGTTTATTTATTCTCCATAAGAATAACATGGGAATTTTAAATTTACAATTTTTTTAATTTTCTCCGTAGTCAATGAACATTCAAAAACACTTCAATATACTAAAATATTTGTTTTTTTAAGCTCTTCAAAATGGTCTAGAGAGAAATTTAGAAATTTAAAGTTTTTAGGGTCAAAAATGAGAAAAACCCATTTTTACCCCATAAAACCTCCCATAAACCCCTGATCCCATGGTCCGATTATGCTGGTTCGCGAACTCGTTCGAATAAATGTAGGTTTACACGTTTGTACCAAATTTCATCAAAATCGGATCAATTTTGCTCGAGTTATCGCGCTAACGGACACATATATAAATATATATATATATATATATATGAATTTGAACGGATGGTGTTTTTGGCCTCTGGGGACCTCAAAACGAAAAAGTAAATCGGTCTCGGGTCTAGGTCTTACCATGAGACCTACGGTAATAGCTTATTCCCTATATGGGAAATTCGCTAAAACAGATAAAACTTGCAGAAAAATAACAATATGATAACTCCGTACAAGAACAAGATATAACAATGCAATAACAACAGGATATACTATATTAACAAAAATAAATAACAATGCAATAAATAGAAAGTTTGGAAATATGCAAAGATTGATGCAGGAGTTCAGAAAAAAAAAGAAAAAAAGTTCTGTTGTTATTAAAAGATGTATATCTCGGGTTATTAGTACGTCACTAAGTTCTTCCTGATCTCAAATTACTTGGTTAATGTTTGATTTAACATTTTATTAATCACTAAATGAAATCTGACTAAGTTATTTTAAAATGAGTCATTAACCATCATTTAACATTAAATTATTTTTATGTCCAAAACTTTCTTTGGTTAAAGACATACAGGGCTAGTCATCAGTGTTACAATTTTTAGACGTGGCACCTTTTAGTCTTATATGCCTCATCACACATCATTTACTTTGTACTTACACCAAACAAATGTTGTAACCCTGATGACCAGCCCTGTATGTCTTTAATTGCTTTAACCAAAGAAAAATTTCTAAATAAAAATAATTATTAATGTTAAATAAAGGCCCATGACTCATTTTCAATTAGTCAGATTTCATTTAGTGATTAATAACATTTTAAACCAGACATTTACTGAGTAATTTAAGACTAGAATGAACCTTTTGTCGTATTAACAAACCGAGATATAAATCTTTTCATAAAACTGATTTGGAAAAAGTTAGATTTAATATTGTGTTGTGGTTCATAGCTCAACTCTAACTCGTCCGATTTTAATGATCGATAGCTTAAATAAAAGCCCTTACATCACTGAATACTATAACGAATTGCAAGCGATAATAAGAACTGGATATATGAGAAAAATAATCAAAGTACGAAACGTCCGTAAAAGATGTATGGGGGGGGGGAGTTTTCATTTCAATATATTTTCGAAACGAAAGACGATATTTACAAACGGTTTTCGGAATTGAAATTAGCGTAAACATCTATAGTTTATAATGATGAGTCACAACACCAGCATTACATTTAAAAAATTATATTAATGTCCAATATGGTAGATCCAAGACGGGGGGCCAAAAACACCAGCTTAGCCACACTTTCAGACAAAACACCCGGTAGTACACGATTCTATGTCACTACCTATCTATCACCACCAATCATAGTTTTTATTTGAATCTTCAAAACGAAAAAATATATTTAAAAACATATTTCAGCATTGAAATCAGCGTGAAAATTTAGTTCATAATGATGTGTCACAACACTAGCATTGTATAAAAACGTTATTAACATCCAATATGGCGAATCCAAGATGGCGACCGAAAACACCAGCTTGGCCACATTTTCAGACAAAATACTCGGTAGTACACGGTTCTACATGTCATTACCTATCAATCGCCAACAATCATACAATTGCTTAATTCAAAATCCTACAAAATTACATATGCCTCACAACTATAGTCTAATTTATTTTATTTTCTAATGCCTATAATTTGTTTATAGCAGACCTACCCGTAGCAGCAGACCTGTATACTCAACGAATTACATATGCTTCAATAAATAATTAAAATGGAGCCACACATCATCATTTCTCAAAGTATGTTCATGAACAAGCATGCAAAAAATTGTCCATAAGAATAACATTGGAAGTTAGTATGCAGGTTTGCTGCCACGGAAATGTAAAAATGGGGGATTTTAGGCCATATTCAAGTAGATCTCTACTAAATGAAGCCACATACCAATTATTATTAAGATATGCTGAGTAATAAGCTAGATATACAATTTTATTTTTTTCCCTATAAGGATAACATGGCGACAATGTTCTGTGTTTTCCGCCTTCAATATCTCGGTAACCAATGGTCATAGAGCAATGATTCAAAACACCAAATTGTTTGATTTTTTGAGCTGAATTCAATGGTGTAAATTAAAATTCGATTATTTTACTCTGAAAAGAGTTACTATGAATTTAGTGAATAGATGTCACACATGGCGGCCATCTTGGATTTACGACGTCATAAAAACCAAACCCCGCAATTTGAGGGTAAACACCCGGTACTACACCATTATGTGACATATAATAAAGAGATTTCACATAGTCACACATTTGCTTCACAAAAAATCCCACGGAAGCTGGATATGTGCAGTTTGCTCCTGGACTATAAGTTGGTCCGACCACATTCATCATCTAAATAAAAAATTAAGGTCAACAAGGTATTCACTAAGTGTACTATCCAAGATCACGCCGCTAGAAGTCTGCTTGACAGTATATCATGCATATGTTCATTATTTGTTGGCTTATGGCGTCACTCTAAGGGGGACCTCTGCAGAGGCCAAAAAAGTGTTCACTTGCCAAAAGTCAATTATCAGAACTATTTTTCACCAGAAGTCTAAAAAAAGCTGTCAACCTTTTTTCAAAAAACATTCCATTTTAACATTACCATCTCTTTATATATTTGAAATAGCAAAGTATGTTCATGCAAATCCTTTCTCTTATGAAAAATATAAAATAAATCATAACTATCAAACAAGAAATAATAACAAAACTTTTCAATATCACAAACATTCTCAAACAAAATTTGAAACTGGGCAAAACTGGTTCAAAATTCCAACATGGGATTAAAAATCTACAATCATTTACCTAATTCATATAGAACTTTATTAAAATCAAATTTTACATATAAGCTGAAAGAGACTTTGAGCCAGAAAGCGTATTACAAAATTCAGAAGTTTTTTATAGATAAATTTTAATAGTTTTTACTCTTGTTAGGGTATAATTAGATTAAGGAACCTAGATATAAATTGACCATGTACCAGCTTGGGAATTACGTTTGAAATTATTGTATCAGGCGTCATGTACAATAAAGCTTTGTCTATTGTCTATTGTCTATAAATTAACTTCAACTACTCACCAAAGCATCACTAAATCAAAGCTCATAAAAGATTAAATTAAAATTTATATGAAAAAAATCATCAAGAGAACAAAAAGCTTTACTTATAAATCCATTTAAACATCATCAGGTTTTACGAGTACCTATAGGTTTGCTGTTACAGGCGGGGAGAGGGTAATAAAGTGTGTCTTTTAGTAGAATATTAATAGCTTAGTATAAAATAAGAAATTGGCCAGGTTTTATCAACATATATCCAGAAATAAGCTTATCTACACTATTATAAAGAAGAGGTGGTGTCTGTTTGTGCGTCTGTGTGTCTGTGTGTTTGTATGAGATAATCTCAAAAACTACTAAACCGACTGAGCTGAAATTGCACACAAATGAAGCTACAGCTCTGAGGATACATATAGAACTATTCCCGCTTCGATATTGTCCTAGGGCTATGCCCCGTGGGCTTTCAAAAATTTGAGGTGAGAGATTTAAAAGTAAATATTGATTGATGGTATCCATGGTAACAAAGAACAAACCTACAAAGTTTAAAAATGTAAACAAGCAGAACTAACTAACTGTCAAATGAATATTGATTTCACAATTCCACACAGCTGGTTCAAACATATTAAATACTGCACGAATAGAACAGAGAGGGTAAGGATTATAAATTTAAAATAATGATGTCACTAGCCCGAATGTAAACATTATTTAACATTACTTAAATGGAGCTGTCAAACCATATGTTAATGTAATTTCATAAGTATATGATTCTTTCAGTTACTTCATTTGTTTATCTTTATGGATCTATTATACTGAGTCTGTTCTAATATTTGTGAAACGCTGTAATAATATTTTACAGGGAATTATTTTTTGTTGTAAAAGAAATCATTCATGGATATAGGAAATAATTAAGATTCTATAATCATTGTCGTATCAACCTAGGGGCCCTTATCCTGAGTTTTTTGAGGTTTTTTTTTATTTAATTTTGTATAAACGTTAATATAAACTGAGCAAATTTCCTTTTGCCTGATTATAATTTCACTTAAATATGTTAGAAAATTACCCTACTTTCCATATTTATTTCTATTTTTTCTATTTTTTGGTTTGGAACTTTAGTTGTAATAGCTTTTCGTTTACAGTGCAAACCATTTAACACATTCTTTTATTATACCTTAAAATCTATCATTGGTTTTGTATTGTAGGTAGCCTAAATAAGTATTCCCAGTATAAGTTAACAAAAATGTACTATTATCAAGTTAAATAATATAGTTCAATTTTGTTTCTAAATTAAATGGTAGGAGTGAAACCATTTCGCATTTTCAAAGAACCAACATTGTCTCTTTTGAATACTGACCCCGTCGCATAGAATCACAGAGAACATTATTAGGCAAATCGTTAATCGATACTAAAAATAGAAACGGCCCAAGTATGGACCCTTGCGGGACTCCGCACACTACATTAGGCATAGCTGACCGCTCGCCCTTGACACACACCACTTGTCTTCTGTTGCTTAAATAAGAATTTTATAGGTTAAGGGCAGCCCCACCGACTCCGTAGTGCTGTATCTTGCTCAAAAGCATCCGATGGTCGACGCAATCGAAGGCCTTTGCTAAGGTCGCAGAAGGTGACCCAAGAAAAGCCTCCGCCCTCAAGAACATCATGTATTGAGGACAATATCACATTTAGCATAATCTAAAACAACATCTAAATCATTCAATTTATTTCTTGATGACTGCACATTTAAATGCAAGACACGTAAACTGGAGATAGTTGGTTTTGGTTTTGTTTTCTTTGAGATACCTGGTGTTTTACATACAGATCTGCTGTTTGAACTACAATTAAAATTAGAGCTTAAGCTATCAACCTCAAATGGATCAAGTTATTAGATTATTAAATTGTCAATTATAATCAAAGTCGAAAATAAGAATAGTCAATTTCAGTACAAAGTCTCATTCAATATTTATTTACTCACTTTTACAATATTAAAACATGTGATAATTAATCATCACAAATAAATCATACAGCATAAATATAAAGATTAATCAATGGTCATACATATATATGAAATTAGTCATTAACATAGATGGTGCACTTCCAGTGGAGCGTTTCCCGATGTAGACGTTCATCTGTTGACTGCTTAGGACTTGCTATGACGTCTATCAGTGCTGGTTGCTTGCTGGTGTCCTCGGTTCCCGGTGATGATGACGGATTCTGTCTTGTTGCTGAGGTTGCTGCTTCTTTTATCTTGTCTGCTAGCCAAATTTTTCCCTTATGGTTTAAGTGCATTCCATATCTTGTATGGAGGTCTCTACTAAACTTTCCTGGCTTCCACCAGAGTAATATTATGAAACTCTTCACAAATACCTTTAAGAAGCACATTTTGTTTTTTTCAGTTAAGGGCCATCTGAAGAAACATAATATTTCACCTGTTACAAGCCTAATATTGGTACCTACATATTTCAGTTTGATTGGAACATTACTCGCAATGAAAACATGGCTGATGTCAGTGGACTGCAAATTGCTTATGAAACTTGGAAAAATTTGCATGACAAAATGGCGGACTACAGACTTCCTGGTCTCGTAGCATTGTCTCCTTCCCAGCTGTTCTTCCTTCAAGCTAGCCAGGTAAGCAAATCTCCAAGGTCTTGGGATGAAGGTTAGGTGATTTAAAATAATTTAATTCCTTGAGGCCCTAAGGCTAAATATACCGAGCATAAGATGAGTAACACAACCTAACTTTCACTTACAACAATCTATGCGAGTTCAACAAAAATGGCTGAAAGATAAAACCCGACATGTTCTTCAAACTGGGAGTGAAGTTTAGAATTATTACGCTGTTGCAAGTACAGCAGACCATAGGGGCTGATCAATGGACAAGGTTTCTCAGGCATTATCATCCTACCTATCGCAAAAGCACCGTGCATTGAGAGTATAAATCTTCTGGCTTGGTCAGGTCTGATGTATGTGCAGCTCATGAGGAGCTGTATGTGCAACTCATGTCTATAGCTTGGTGGGAAGTGCCTATTTAAAATTAATCTGGTTTGGATGAAAGTTATTGATAGAATTTTTTAGTAGGCCTATATTGAAACATAATTAACAAAACCAAATTTATTGAACTCACAAATCAGACTAAACTAAAGTATCAAGAAATAAGTCCATATGTTTTATTTATCTCTTGATCAACAGCATTGGAGGAACATGGAAAACGGCTCAAACCATCAGCATTCGGAATAGAAATTCCCAGTTTGTATACAAGATCAAAGTTATATCCATTTAAAAGGATACTCCAGCGAATCATTCGAGGTGACAGTGTGTTTGGTGTTTGTTTATCCACAGTGAAAAGACCCAGAAGTGGCTTATGATCTGTTCTAATTTCAAAATGCCTCCCATATAAGTAATTGTGGAATTTCTTAATCCCTCCAATGATGGAAAGTGCTTCCCTATCTACTCAGGGCCGGTTTAACCCATACACGAACTACGCGGCCGCATATGGCGCCACGAAAAAGTGGCGCCGTGGCACCAACGGAACAAATTTTTAAAAACGTAATTTTGTTTATTTTCGCTCAGAGTTCAAGTATCAAAGCACCACAATAAATGCATTTATTCTGTTTGTACCAACAGCACTTGAAAAATGCGTATATTTGTACAGGACTACAACAAAGTTAGCCATTTGCAGTTTCGATTTGTAGTGAGCTGACGCTCGGCATCGGTAGCGATGCGGCGCCTTTGGGTTTCATTTCATGCTCGAGATAAGCAAGCGCGCAGATTAACCCTTGCCGACAAACCGCCACCGCCCACCACTGCTCGAGCGAACACTATTAGTCCATTACCGCAACGGTACGTTGACCAGCCGTAGGTCTCGGTGGTATAGTGGATAGTGCACCGGACTGTTGATTCGGAGGTAGCCGGTTCAAAACCCACCGGAGGCATTAACTTTTTGACTCGATTTTTTCATTATTAGGCTAGTAAACCTTCATTAAAAATTTTCATTATCAGCAAGTTTGGTTAGGTTATCACAGTTAAATTAATTTAAATTTAACCTACAAACGACACGTTTTGACAGTGACAGTGATAGAGATAACAATTTCCCACGAACAGTTCGACTATGCACGGTATAATGCGTTCTGCACGACGCGGTGGTGGGCGGTGACGGTCTGTCGGTAAGGTCTCGTGCTGAGCAGCACCGAAACTTCCCCCCCTTCCCTCCCTTCTACTTCTGATAACTCTCCCCTCCTGGAGCAGAGCATTACGTTGTATTGTATTGCACTCTTTTAGTTGTATACGTACACCTGTTCTGAACCAGATTGATACCAACTTAGCAATTAAAGAATTTGCCAAGATCAAAGCTAGGAAAATTAATTTTTAACTGCTAAGAGCTTTTGAACTGTTCAAATTGAAAATTTTTTATTCTTTTTGTCAAGGTAATAAATTTGGTTTTTCATGTTTTCTACATGTTTAATGTGTTCAATTAAAAATTCCTCTCTTGTCATCTACCGACACCTGTTTTTCATTGTAATATTTATTCTAATAGGCTTTATAAAAACTTATATCGTAGCCAAGTTATCCTGTAAAAATCGTTTTCACATTTAGAAATAAATTGTTAACTTAGGCTGTGATGCTTGTCAAGCATGACGTCACGATAGACGACGGCAATGACGTAGGTATTTATTTATTTATTTTCCAAGGAAAGATTAAAACAAGCAAACGGCTAACATTGCGCCATTGCCGTCTTCTATAGTGACGTCATGCTTGACGAGCATTACGGACTGTTTTTTTAGTGTGGCCTTGGTTTTGCTAAATTTTATATGATGAGTAAAAGTGTAAAAATTTTAAATTTGTGGGAATAATAAATAGTCTTTTATTGCAAGTATTCTTCTAACCTAAACTTATAAAAAAGTTCTTCCCAAAATCGTTGGGAAAAAATTCACAAATATAGTTAAGTAATGTTCAAGGGTTGTGGGTGGGGTGGTAAGGGGGGATTCTAAGTGGCGCTGATTCGGGTGTTCGCTTAACTCTGAAAAATTCCTAGAACCGGCCCTGTATCTATACTTGAGCATATCTTCGTTCTGACTGACTCATTCTGGAATAAAACGCAATTGGAACTTCCTTTTCCCCTCGAACCTGACTAAGCACACAACCAATACCATAAGGAGATGCATCACAAGTTAGTATAAGATGGCTTGAGGGATTGTAATGAGCCAGTATACTATCGGAAGAAAGGAGCTTCTTTGAAGCATTTAAAGCGAGTTTATGTTTTTCCTCCCACTGCCATTTAACATTTATGTCCAATAAGCGATGTAAAGGTTCTGCAACATTGGATTGGCTTTGTTGGGTAAGAAACAGTGATAGAAATTGAGTAACCCTAAAAATGCCTGCAGTTGTTCCTTGTTAGTCGGCTCAGGAGCATCATGGATGGCTTTGTTTAAAGTTGCCTTATAATCACCTGTTAAAAAATTGCCACTCACTAGGAAAACTGGAGGATAGTCTAGATATTTTAAAGAATTGTAAGAAAGGATATGTAATGAATGCTTGGGAAGAATTGTATATTTATAAGGAAAAATGTAAAAATAGAAATAAGTTGATTAATGAACAAATACATTTTGATTCCAGTTGTACTTATAAAAATGTATTGGCCGGTGCTTCCGGTAGCCAATAGGGTATAAGTAAGGACGCCATTCAAGATTCTTGTCATTCGCCTATTGGGTCTGATGATGATTGGAGTGTCCAATCGAAATTGATCACCACTTACCATCTTTTTTGTATATTTACCGTCTTGTGAGTAACAATATAAGCGTAAATATATGTTTTAAGTGTTATAAGACGTTTCTTTCATTTACTTTCTGTTATAATCACCTCAAATACGTATTTTACCATTGCTTTTTACGGAAACAACTATTGGTGTGGTCCAATTCGATACCTGAACAGGTTCTAACACTCCCTGATTAACTAACTTATTCAGCTCTTCTTCTACTGGAGCCTGCAATGCATAAGGTAAAGGGCGCGCTCTTAAGTGAATTGGGTTATAATTCTGGTCAAATTTCAATTCAATAACACCCTAAAGAATTTGAAAATACATCAGAAAATTCACTTTTCAGATGTTGAACATCCGGCTGGGCTTTACTTAGAACATCAAATTCATGGCAGTTGAGTGAAAGTAGGCTACCCCGTTTACTTCAATATTAAGACTTTTTAGCCAATTACGCCCCAATAAACTATTTATATTACCTTCAGTTATGACTAACGGAAGGAATCCATTGAACTTACCGTATTTCACATAAACATTAGTCTGACCTAAAACATTACAGGTTTACCACTGTAATCCTTGAGTTTCCAGGGAGAAGGTTGCAGTTTACAGTTTTTACGAGAAATTTTATTCCATAGTTCCCCTTCTATGATAGAAACACCTGCACCAGTATCAACTTCCATTAGAACTTTGTGATTATTAATGTTGACAGTTGTACACAGTTCCGGAAATTTAGAGCAATTAACTTCCTGGACGTACTGAGTTATTTTGTTACTTGATTGAGGTGGAAACCCTAGTAGCACAAATATGTATTTTATAAATATTTTATATATTTAAAGTTGTATTTGATAGAACCTCGAATAAAATATATAAATAATATATCTTTAATAACAGTTTGATATATTCAAATACTATTATAAAAAAGAGGTGGTTGCTGTATGTGTGTATGTGTGTATGGGAAAAGTAAACTCGAAAAATACTGGTCGGATTGGGCTGAAATTTGGCATGATGATAGCTCACATTCCCGATTAACATATAGTCATATTCTTATTTCAAAAATCCTTTCGGGCTCCGCCCCAGTGGCTCTGGAGTTTCCCATGTTAACCTTATGAGAAATGGAATTATTGAATCTTAACAGCTGTTTCAATTAAACAAGTTGGTTCTGTTCTATGATGTTCAATAGCATTAAAGTTACAAGGATTACCAACAGGGTGCAGCACTATTATTTCTTTTACATTTATGACAACAGCTAATTTGCAACCAAAAGGTGAGTGAGCGTAGCGAACGAACTTCAACCTGGAGGCGAGTTAGCGTAGCGAACGAGCTAACCTGAAGGCAAGTGAGCGCAGCGAACGAGCTCCAACCTAAAGGTGAGTGAGCGTAGCGAACGAGCTCCAACCTAAAGGTGAGTGAGCGTAGCGAACGAGCTCCAACCTAAAGGTGAGTGAGCGTAGCGAACAAACTTCAACCAGGACGTGATTGAGCCATGCGAACAAGATAATCTTGAAAATTAAGAAGTTAAACGGGGCAAAGCCCGCGGGTTACAGCTAGTTCAAATATATATTTAAAATATTACCAAAAAGCAATGCAAAACATAAATTAAATATAAGTTTTGAATATATAAAATAGATTCATAATATATATATTGATCAAATAAGTATAGAATCTATAATATAAATATTTTATATGTATATTTTTAATATTAAATATTTAAAAAAAATATGTGTTGAGAATATTTTAAATATATATATATATAATATTTTTGAAACTATATTATATATTTAAAGTATTTATAGATATATTTTGAAACACGTCATTTATTTTTATTAATAAAATAATAATATATTTGTAGAATATAGGCTATAGCCTATAATCTTTTATAATTAGCAAATAAATAATTTGCATCTTTTTGTTTTTTATAGTGTCTATCAATTTATACATGCATTTTTTATATGATAATTGCTATTGCGTTAAAATTAAGTTAATAATAATACGTACTCTGAATGGTGTCACTCTATCATGCACGTAAAGAAAAAATTACGCATATGGTTAAGAGGCAGTATACATGTTCGGCAGCTACATTTGGGTCAAACAAAAAAAAAAGTGTTGATGGGTTTTATTTTTTAAATTGCAATATGTGACAATGAATGTGATCATAGAAATCTCTAATGATTGGCTAGAAAAGGGTGCTAGCGGCTGGCGACCGTTTAAGAAACGGATTACGGAAAAACAGATTAACAGAATCATATTATACTGTAGTATCAAAAAATTTTCAAGTATTGCAACCATTGCAACTGACGGCCGCTCTTTCACCATTTGAAAACGAATGCTAGCAACAGTCACAAGTAGCTCAGAGGTAAGGTATGAGGCTCATAAGTCAAAGGACCCAGGTTCGAGTAAAAAGATTTTATCCAGTAATTTTTTCAAAATTTGTTTTTATGAACTATTTAATCAATTTACTCAACTGATAATTGTGTTTTTCATACTAAATCTTCATTATTTTATGTTTTTATGTTTAGGCCTCATGGGATGTTTGGAAGAGATATTAAATACATTTTTTATTTAAATATTATTCACTAAAATATATTATTGGAACATATTCTTTTAATATTTAAAGATTCAAAAACATATTTTATATATATATAATATATTTTAAATATTATATAAAATTGACATTAATACACACTTGAGATAATATAAAATAGATTTTAAATATATTTATTCATATGTATTTAATATATATTTGTGCTACTAGGGAACGTTTCTTCTTGTTCACAATTGGTTTCCTCTGACGAAACTGCATGAGCCCGTTGTCCTTTTGATCCATGTTTTTGGTTGAAATATTCTTTAATTGGGGCGTGGTTTCCCTCCTTTACAAACTCGTGCTAGATGCCCGATTTTCTTGTAAATATTACAAATAGTCTGAAGATGGGGACAATCCCTTCTAAAATGTCTTATTCCCAGGGCCGGATTTACCTTTATGCCGCCTGTAGGCTACAAGTCCTCATGCCGCCCCTTATCTATCTATCTATACTATTATAAAAAAGAGGTGGTGTCTGTGTGTGTGTATGGGAAAAGTAAACGCGAAAACTACTGGTCGGATCGGGCTGAAATTTGGCATGATGATAGCTCACATTCCCGATTAACATATAGGCATATTTTTATTTCAAAAATCCTTTCGGGCTCCGCCCCAGTGGCTCTGGAGTTTCCCATGTTAACCTTATGAGAAATGAAATTATTGAATCTTAACAGCTGTTTCAATTAAACAAGTTGGTTCTGTTCTGTGATGTTCAATAGCATTAAAGTTACAAGGATTACCAACAGGGTGCAGCACTAGCACTATTATTTCTTTTACATTTATGACAACAGCAAAAGGTGAGTGAGCGTAGCGAACGAACTTCAACCTGGAGGCGAGTGAGCGTAGCGAACGAGCTAACCTGAAGGCAAGTGAGCGTAGCGAACGAGCTAACCTGAAGGAAAGTGAGCGCAGCGAACGAGCTCCAACCTAAAGGTGAGTGAGCGTAGCGAACGAACTTCAAAAAGAACCGAAATTTCTTAAACCATGTCCTCACTCATAACTGCTATAAGCATTTGATACTTATATGACAACCCCGTACGAAGGACGGGTACTCTGCTAGTATATGTATATATTTACTGCTGAAAACATATTTATAGGAAAACTACCCCCGCTCTACCTCGTGGTAATATTTGGTTATTCATGCGCACAGACTAATTTTTGCCGATCTGCACAGTACCGCTCGGTAGTCGGCGATCGAAAATACACGTGCAAACATAAAATATAACCTACGAATACTATTACTATATAATCATTCCACTCAATCATACCAATCAACTCCACCTGTATACTATACAAAATAACATGTATCATAAATTTTTGGATTTATAATGTTAATGTTACGTCAAATAAAATACATTTGAGATCATTCTTATATATAAGAAATGTATACATTTCTGTGCTATTGAATATCTTTTAATACTGGAAAATTGTTAAATTAAATTTAGATAGTTCTGCAAGGTGAAATTGCTAAAACAACTGATAAACACCGTGCCGCTTTGTGCACTACGCTACCCTGTACCACCGACTGACTGTATGGTAGTGTAAGTGTCAGCGGTGGGGAGGGGGCTGTCGGCTGTCACGTCGGCGTCGTGGCTGCCGCTCCTGGTCGTACATCCACCAGCTGCAGCCCGCCTGAGAGTCGCCAGCTTCCAGTGTTGCCAACACCAGATCGCAGCTTGCTGCGTGTTGGCGCAATGCGATTGTACATATTAGATTGTGTAATAATACGTATGTCGAAATAGAAAATAAGAATGTTCTAAAAGCTTTATTTAAATGATATGTATACTTGAATTTGTAAGGAAATAATATTGCATGTAAAAAAAAATTATTTTAATTTTTTGAATCTGCCGCCCTAAATTTTGCCGCTCTAGGCTGCAGCCTACTTAGCCTATTTAGAAATACGGCCCTGCTTATTCCACAACCAAGACACACATTAGGCGTATCAGAGTGAGCTGGATTGTTGTTAAATGCAAATTTCCTGTTTGAATGGTCAATTTTATGTGCATTGGCAAAACTTGAGCTACTAAAAGAAAGTTCCTTACTTTGAGTTTTAAATAATTCATTTGACTTAGCTGCAATAACAACATCCTGAAGTTTAATAGTAGGTTCTTTCAAGATTTTATTCCTTAACTCATCACTTCTACATCCAATCAAAATTTGCATAATTAATTCCCTATCCAAGTCTTTGAATTCACAGTTCTTAGCTAATGTTCTTAGCCGAGAATAGAAAGAGTTAAACGATTCTGCTTCTGCTTGACGACACTTCCTAAAATTAAATATTTCAAAAAGGACATTTTTCGTAGGAGCGAAATAGTTAGTTAATAATTTTATCACATTTTTGTATGTTATTTCATTAGGTTGTGGTAAGCTGTCAAAAATGTAAGCCACATCCTCACCAGCTAGATTAAGTAGGTAGTAGTGCAGTTTTCCTTACATCATTGGTAATGTCTGCAGCTAAAGCATACCTCTCTAATTGCTTAATCCACGTACCCCAAAGCTGTGCGACACTTGCAGGATTCGTATGGGGATCAAAGCGATCAGGCTTGAGATCCATTATCCAATCCCATCCTCGTCGCCAGTTTAGTATATTGAAACATAATTAACAAAACAAAATTTATTGAACTCACAAATCAGACTAAACTAAAAAGTAAACAAAACATAATAATGTAAACCAGTCATCTGACAGATGTTATAAATAAAACATATGGACTTATTTCTTGATACATAAAAAATTTATTAATTCTTTATGAGTTTAGGCAGTTTGAAATGTCTGGAAAGCTTATACAAACATTTTACTAAAATATATTAAGCATTCAATACAAAAACATTTAGGTAAACATTGTAAGTATTAATTTTAAAATAATGCCATAGTCTTTGATTGTTTATATTGTTACCAGTCAGTGACGTTAGTATGAGGTAATTATATTCATGTATTTACAGAACCGACCTAATACAAATTCAGATGCCCTTTTTTAACTTACAAAAGATTGCCCCAGCTGGTTTTTGTATCAGTGATAGCAATGAATACAAACCCTTTAAGAAGCAAAATGCTTATGGAGAATAGTCAGACTGGAATTTTGCAGCCAAAATGAGCTTTGCACGGCTGCCACTACGATCGCTTGTGCGCCCGCCGCGATACTCTATCACTCTCTCTCTCTCTCTCTAAGCCAATTCTTTGTCTCACTCTCTCTCACTCAGTCAGCTGACTTAGCCGCACGCTCGCGATAGACAACCTAGCGGCCGCCGCGGGAACTATCAAAAATTCAAATATTTCCTGACTGAATTTTTTACAAAGGCATTGCGCTTCCTAAAGGGTTTGTATTCATTGGTAATGGATAGTTCAAAATTATTCTGTATCTTTGTTTACTTGCATAACTAAAAGAGTTGTTAGTTCATACCATTAGTGTGTTAATAATTTTGAATTGTGTCAACAGGTGTATTGCAGTGACATTAGCCCTGAGGATTACATCATTCTTGTTGAAAAGGACTTCCACACACCTCCCCCAGAGAGGTAATTATTTTGATATTTTTATCATTTTTTAAATACCCCCGCCGCAGCAAACCTGCAGACTAAGCGAATTTCCATTTAAATAACATTAATTTTAGTGAGTACTTAGGTTTGCTGCTACAGGGAACCAACGATATAGGTTATATGGTTGCAGGGAACATATTGAGGTGTGTTTTTTTTATTGCAATGTTGATAGCTTCTTAGTATTAAATAAACAAAATTTCCAAATTTGGTTAAAATATATATCCATAAACAAGCAAACTACAACAGTTTATTTATTCTCCATAAGAATAACATGGGAATTTTTAATTTACAATTTTTTTAATTATCTCCGTAACCGTTTGGGCATACAACAAGGCTTCGATATATAATTTTTTTTTAAGTTCTACAAATTGGTTTGGAGAGAAATTATGATACTTTGAGTTTTTAGGGTCAAATATGGGGAAAATATATTTTAACCACATAAAACCCCCTTAAACCCCAGTTCCCATAGTCCGATTATGCTGGTTCGCGAACTCGTTCAAATAAACATAGGTTTACATGTTTGTACCACATCAAAATCGGATCATTTTTCCTAGAGTTATGGTGCTATCGGACATATATATGAATTTGAACGCATGGTGTTTTTGGTCTCTGGGAAACTCAAAACGAAAAAGTAAATCGGTCCCGGGTCTATCTATAACCCCCTTAAATAAAGTTACTGTATTTGAAAATAATAACTCAGCATCATACCAGAAGAACATCAGCATTCTCTATCTCAACCCAGTACGAAATGTAATGGCAAATACATCAAAAATACATTTTTGTGCTGTCTCTCTCACTGATGAAAGTGTAAACTTACGCCATACTGTACTAGGTTGGTTTCCACTGATGTTCTTCTTTAGTGAAGACCTTTAAAATGAAGGGTCATCACTCGATGGGGCCTATACATTTAAAACATTTTAGCCATCTCCAAAATACCCTGTTTTAGGACCCTGGACAAAATTGTTATAGAGACGAAAAAGTGCACTTTTATACTATTTAAAGGTGTGTTAAGTTTAATTTTCCAGTGTAACCCAATAATGAAAACCTTTAAACTGAGGTCTCACTCAATGGGGATTTACAATTTATAAAAATCAAACTGCCCCCAAAATACCCCATATGGTACAAATATAAAGTTGTGAGAGTTTAGTTTTCGTAGCGTAACCCATTGAGAAGCTAAGAAGGGGTATCCATAATTTTGCCTAATCCTATAGCTATATTTAATGTTTTGCATAGTATTTTCTTCGAGTCCTGGCTGATATGATATGTATTATGATTTCAGGGTAAATGGCATAATGATGAACTTCCCTGCGTTTGCTGAGGCATTCAGCTGCTTTCCTGGAACAAATATGAACCCGTTTAGGAAGTGTTCAGTTTACTAATTATATACTGATTATATACTAATTTTATACTGGTCTAAACAAATTTATTTTACGAAGTTTTAACATTTTTATCAAGTTGCAATGTTTGTTGATGGATTTTATAAGAATTTTACAATAATAAATGTTTTGAGGTAGGTACGGTATAATATTTATAAAGACTTTTAATGCCATCATTGCCATTTTTTTTTAGAAAATATAATGGATGTGTAGCATATAATAAAATATATGGATTATTGTAATTATTACTTTTGTGTAGGATAATGTTACGTAGTAATAATAATAATAACCCTATTACAAAACATTTTGTTTTAGAAACAGCATAAGAAAAATTCTATTCAATTTCAAAACAGATAAACTGAGGTGTATTTTTCTGTATTTAATTTAAACCATTACCATACATTAACTTTTGTAAGAAAATGTTTTTTCTTCAACATTTTAAATTAACTTGTTACATGGTGGGTTTTACAAATTTCTCAATTTCTAAAGAACAAGAATTGCTTATGTGAATCGGTACTACTAACTACTACTGTCAATGTTAAAAATAAAATACCTCTGGTGAAAATATGCATCAATGATTGCATTACCGAAATTACAGACCGAGTAATCATTCCCTACCACCCATTCCTATTTGGTGTGTAATCAACGAGTTGAAGAAAAAATGTGATGGATACAGTATGAGTAAGGATTGTTTTTTTTTTTTTTTTTTTTTTTACTGTGCACAGAAAGATACATTTAATCTATAGATTATACGTCCTTTTGATATGTATCCTTTGAATGTACATTACTGTTGATTAAGATAGAAATTATTATGACAAAACTGTGATTTATGTATATATGTATGTATATAGTTTTTTACTGTTGGAACAATAGTTATTGTAAGCATGTTAAACCATTGAAAGCAATATATATTATAATTCCCTTGTGTGTAATTTATAAGGTTGTTGATTGGTACACAATAAACCTTGTTACAGAAGTTTCTCCAGCTAAAATATTTATTAACATCAGAGACAGAGAATTGACTGGCTATGAGGGTAATGATTACAACGTTAGGTAAATATTCTCCAGTTTTTGAAATAAGGACATCAACTGTTTGTAAGCAGTTGCCCTACAAATCATATAAGAACAAGACTACCCATGTAGCACAGATGGTTGGGCCAACGTTGGCCAACTGTGGGACAGTTGGTCGATGGTTGGTTGGAGCTTCCACAACCAACCAACCGTTGTCCAACTGTATATCTCGTAGTTGGGCCAACCAATATTTACAACTGTGTACCAACATTGGTTCATTGTTAATGAAATACATTAATATGAATTGCTGGGTATCATACATCAAGCCAACCGTTGTCCAACCGTTTTTCACTCCGTTGGACCAACAAAAGATACTTTTGTTGGACCAACGATGGTCCATAGTTGAGTTTACACGACTTTCATTCTCTGGGTCTAGCTTTCACAACATAATTATAATAAAATATCTGGTTTTACAATACCTTTATCAGTTCCAAAAGTTTTTGGAACTGATAAAGGTATTGTAAAACCAGATATTTTATATATTACAGTTCCGGGGCTACAACAATGAATTTTAATAATTATAATAATGCAAATATTTTTTAAATTAATATTCTTTAACTTATTTGCAACAATTTAAGGGGAAAGAGTAATTAATCATATAACAGTCAATTATAATAGCATTAATAATCTAACGGTAATTAATTAATCTATATTCAAATACCAGTATCCTCTTAACTAAAAAAAAAAAAAAAAAAACTACTTATGATGCCTTAACAGATTAACAGAATCATATTATACTGTGTAGTATCAAAAATGTTTGAAGTATTGCGACTATTGCAACTGTCGGCTACTCTTTCACCACTTGAAAACTCTCTATATCAACAATCACAGATAGCTCAGTGGTAAGGTAAGAGGCTCATAAGTCGAAGGACCCGGGTTCGAGACCCGTCTGGGCCAAAAAATTTTGTTCTAGCTTTTTTTCAAAATGTGTTTTTATGAACTATTTAATCAATTTACTCAACTAATAATTATGCTTTTCGTACTAAATCTTTATTATTTTGTGTGAAATAAAACGGTTGGTTGGATATCAGTTGTGTTATGGTTAGTTGGCCATCAGTATTTTTGGGCCATTGTTGGACAATGGTTGGCTGGAAAACAGTTTAAAGAGGTGACATTTCTACCGTTGGCCAACTGTGTGGCTCCACAATTTACCAACGTTGGCCCAACCATCTGTGCTACATGGGTACATAGGGAGTTGACTTATGTATGTACAACTTGCATTGTATACCTTATTCATACTATATATATTGTATACATTATTTTTTAGAGGTAGGTACTGTACTGACTGTTGGATTTTATTTATGTTTAAGGACTATCTTAAAAAGCAGTAATATTTGTAATAGAGGTAAAAGAATTACATAATCAAAATTAAATTATGTCTTTCTTTAACCATACAAATTATTTAGGCCTATGTTACTCTGTACATTATGTTAATTCTTGTATTTAAAATAGTTTTAAACCAATCTTCTTTGGAAGGAATAGACTATGAAACGTTCAGTGGATTATTTATGCTTTCATTTTACTTTCTCCCCTGTGCCATACTATGTGGAGAAAGTATTATTGTTTTTGTCAAAATGTTTGAGTTTTGAGTGGATATATATCCGTTTTGGGTCCCCCTGGACCCAAAAAAGTGGTTTTCGAAATTATGTGTGTGTGTGTGTGTGTGTGTGTGTGTCTGTATGTATGGATGTGTACAGAGCTACAGACCACGTCTGTGGTCCGATTTTGATGAATTTGGTATGTAGGTACTAATCCATGGTATCTAAAGGGGTTTTTTTTTATATTAGCGAATTTCCCATATAGGGAATAGCTATTACCGTAGTACACATGGTATGACCTGGACCCGGGACTGATTTAATTTTTAGTTTTGAGGCCAAAAACACCATCCATTCAAATTCATATACAGTGTGTAAATAAAGTATTGAAACAAATCTGTATTTTTTAACCCGAAGTAGATAGAAATATTCTGTTTGTGGCATTGGTTTTTAACAAAGGTTCCGAGTTCCGATATTTTTTACACCAAAAAATATTTTTCACCCCTTTAACAGGGTAGGGGGTAGCGGGTGACTTATTTTTCTTATTTTTCCCTATTCAGTGACCCAGTTCAATAGTTGAAGGTAATTGTAAATTATCTATTGCATGCACCCCACGTTTTTAGTTTTAAATCTTACAAGTATTTATACTCTCCACATATTTATAAATTATTTTCTACTTTTTATTGCATTTAAAAACGTTTTGTTTTAAAAAAGTTTTTTATTTATAAATTATTTGTTTTGATATCCCCAGATGCCAAAATCACCATCCGTTCAAATGCATAGCCTATATATATAGGTCTACATGTGTCTGTATATGTCTGTTAGCAGGATAACTCCAGCAAAAATGATCAGATTTCAGTTAAATTTGACTAAAACGTATAAACCTACATTTATTAGAACGAGTTCCTAAACCAGCATGATCGGACAACGGGACCGGTGTATTATGGGGTGATTTATGGGGTAAAAATAGGTTTTTCTGGTTTTTGACTCCCAAAACATAAATTTCCTAATTTCCCTCTAAACAATTTTGAAGAGCTTAAAACAACTAATTTAGTATATTGAAGTGTTTTAGTATGGTAGTACAGAGAAAATTCAAATCAAATCCAAAAAATCGTACATTTAAAATTCCCATGTTATATTTGTGGAAAATAAAGTAAATGGTTGTAGTTTGCTATACTTGTTTATGAATATATTTTTATCAAACTTGGCAAATCTATTTATTTTACACAAAGCTATTAATGTTTTACTAAAATACCCCCGCCGCAGTAAACCTGCTGACTAAGGGAATTTCCATTTGTCTGAATTAATTTTCTATTGAATTGATGAAATCCAATCAAATAACAGGTTTAACAAGCACCTTGGTTTGCTGCTAAAAGAAAACTAATAAAGTATTTTTTTTTTTGTAAAATATTAATAGTTAGTATAAAATAAATAAATTTGCCAAGTTTTATCAAAATATATCCATAAACAAACAAACTACAACATTTTACAATATTCTCCATAAGAATAACATGGGAATTTTAAATTTACAATTTTTTTTATTTTCTCCGTTACCAATAACCGTACAAAATCACTTTGATATACTAAATTATTTGTTTTTTAAGCTCTATAAAAAGGTGTAGAGAGAAATTGAGAAATTTTGTGTTTTGAGGGTTAAAATGAGAAAAATCAATTTTTACCTCGTAAAACCCCGTTCCCATGGTCCGATCATGCTAGTTCACGAATTAACTCATTCAAGTTTATCCCGCCTTACACCTTTAAACCAAATTTCATCAAAATCGGACAAATGTCACTCAAATTATCGCGTTCGCGGTCATATATATATAAATCTATATATACATATATACAAATTTGAACGAATAGTGTTTTTGGTCTCTGGAGACATCAAAATGAAAAAGTAAATCGGTCCCGTGCCAAGGTTTTGCCCTGCCACCTACAGTAATTGCTACTTCCCTATAGGGAATGGAAGTTCGCTAAAACACAATTTATTACCCTCCCTGTAGCAGCAAACCTAGGTACTTGTTAAACCTAATGTTATTGAAATAGATTTAATTTAAAATCAAATCAGGCAAATGGAAATTCGCTTAGTCTGCAGGTTTGCTGCAGCAGGGGTATTTTATTAATGAAGCAGTACAGTATTTGGCAATTTGCAACAATTAAGCAACGATTAGCTTATTATTAGTAAGAGTAGTCCTATCTAGTTTCTTCTGGCACCCCCATATTGCACAGAGATTCCCCTCCCTAGCTGTACCGGATTGTTGATGCTGTACATATGAATTATGAAATTAGGGGAAGATAAAAGAAAGTAAAATACTGTAGCTTCCTGTTTTAAGTCATGATTATGGCTACTTGAGTATGTCAAAGCTAAACACAAGGACCTCTAAAAGCTAATACCACCCATGGGTTTGTACAGGTAGAATAGTTACTGTATATTGACATTAAGTTAACTGCATAAAGTGTAAATGAATTAAGAGAGGCTGTGATATAATTACTTGTACCTATATGTATATTTTAATAAAATAAACAGCAAAACTATACAGTTAACTTGTGTTTATTAAAGGAGCAAAAATGTGAGAAATTTATGTTGTTTTTTGTTTATTTTACTGCAACACAAAAAGTGTATACAGTAACTCTTTTACTGTTGGCAGTTTTTTACAATTTTATGTTACTCCTGGCTGTTGTTGTTTTTATACTGATTTTTATAACATAATATGAAATAAACATATGTAAGTTGAATAATACACAATTAATTAACCAACTTACTAAAAAACAAATGAGCTTTGAACACCAAATATATTATTTTAAACTTTTAATTTTGATATAGATAAAAACAAATTAATAGGTATAGTCAGAGTGTGTTCGTTTTTCAACCCGTTATTTCAAATGTAATGGATACACAATAAAATGTTGTAGAGTCTAGAAATGTTGTAGGCTCAACTTTACACTGTAATAAATAAGTGTATACAAGGTGTTTTTTTTTAAACTTGCATCTTTATTTATGTAAAAACCGCAATAGATAGAAATATACAGTTGGCGGGAATCATCTATTGATGTAGGGGGCACAATTTTTTTTA